TTTATATTATATATTTTTGAGAAAATAATTAAAAAATAAATTGTAAAAAAACTGTTGAAAGTAGGTAAATCATATGCTCATTATTAGTGACATGATAATTGTATATTAATTTGTTACTAAGGATTTGTTTGCATGAATCTGAAAACAGATTTGAATAAATAATTATTTTCCACCTCTACCTTTAGTATAAATTATTAAATCCATGATCATTTTTGAATTGTTGTAATAATTTATTATTTAAAATTGAAATACTCATTATGTTTCATTATTAACTTTTCATTTGTATTAACAATATCATAACTTATGTGAAAGGAAAAATAAGAAAAAAATTTAGCAGCATTAAAACTTATAATTATATTAATTCACTTAGCTATTGTTTATAGATAATCAAACATGCTTTTTTCTGATTAATACCACTATTGTGTTTCAAATTTTGATAACCAATTAACTATTTTACTTACAAATTTAATAGTTTTAAAAATCTCTATTATTATTCATAAGTATACATTCCAAACATCTATAGAAAATTAAGTGACTCATTTTTAGTTAGATAATCGTTGACTATTAAAGAGTATATTGCCATACCATTAAAATATATCACTTACCTAAAAACATGTAATTAACTAAAAGAAATTTGAACTTCCATGAAAAAAGAAGAAATATTCAATTAGGTAACTTTATTATGAAATGATTTGCCTATGTTAAGTTTTCTATTTTGCTGTGATATTATATTATATTGTGAATTGTGAAATATTTTATTCAATTTTTTGCAGAGTATAATCACTTATTTTGTATTTAAAATACTAACAATTGAAAAATTTACTATACAATCTATATAATGAATTATTTTATATTTTTTGAGCCAATTACCTGTCACTAATAACATATTGATTGTTATTTGTTTACTTTACATCTGATACTTAATTTTACAAAATTGAGAATATTTTATTTTCTGTGACCAAATCTATGATGAAGCTACATTTTAAGTTAAACAATATTATCTTGTTTGGTTGGTGATATTAAAGTTGTTGGCCTGCTACTTACTATGGTGTACAAAACTCATCTTTAGTATATACAAACATATTTTTATTATTATTAATTTAGTATAGTATATTTGTGATAAGATTGTTGGTATTTTTTATACAAAACGTATCAATGCATAATCCCATAATGTTATTATAAGTACTAAAATAATAAAAATCCGATTGCTAGCAAGCCCGAATGAAGACTAATGCCCTTAAGAAAATTAAAAAAATTGGTGCCCCTATTTTACAACTCTTTAAAATTTTAATTTGTATTTATTAATTAATTATAAAATCTTTTTACATTTTTCAATCAATATACAATATCCAAATAATATTAAAATTTGAAATAAAATTATGTTTGTAACTTATCATTTATATTATGCATAAGATTTATTTTATTTTAAATGCATTTATACAAATTTAAAACTACTGTAGTCTAAATAATGTAAATAATTTAAATTAAACAATAGTACAAAAACTATCTGGTTTTAAGCATAGATGTGTGCAGACTTCTGAGTCAAGTATGGCTTAATTCAATCTAACCCCTCTTCCCCCATCACGGCCATACAGAAATAAAATTATACCTATGGACAACCAGTTTCTCTTTAATCTTGTAAATATTTATGACTATGGTTTATTTTGCTATCAATTTCTACGGCTATAACGCCTTATTACTATCTTAGGTAACTTAACCTAACCGATCCATCCATGCATATAATAAAAGACTCGGGTGAGTCTAGAGCTCAATCAGTGCTACCCGTGCACACGCCTATGATTTTAAGTATGATTACTAACTAACTAATCTATTTATATCATAAACTCTTACTTAATCAAAAAAAAAAAAAAAACCACAAAATATTAAAAGTAATTGGTATTTTGTATGAAAAATATATTAAAAATTTTTTTACTGATACTGATAAATTTGTGGTCAATTTCAGTTTTATAGGTTGTAGTCTATAATGCTTATACCTTTAACCGGCCTAACCACAAGTTAATTTTTATAACATAATCCAATATTGTAATTGAATTTTGGGATACTATGTTTCATAAGGCATATTGTAAATATATAATATTATAATATTTTTTTTTTTTATTCATGATAATTAAACATAATATTTCCTATGTACACAATAAATTATTCTTACCCCTATCTAATCTTAATTAATTCTACTTTATTGATTTAGTGATTTGTATGAAATATAAACTGTATTTTGTTACTTGCAAGTATCAATAAATATAGAATTAAGTACCCACCTTTTATTAATTTTAAATCATTGTGAACAATTCTGATTGCTAGTACAATTTTTGTAAATAATTTTACAAAAACTTCCATACTCATATTTTGTCAAGTAGTTATAGAGTTATTGTATTAATATTAATTTATTTTTCTTTATTGTTGCACAATTTTACTTTCATCCTATATTATATGTTAATTTTTTTGTATTAAATGCCATTATTTTTAGTCTAAAATAACGGAATACAGGGTTTTTGATATCTAAGTTAGTCTATAATTTAATACTGTAATTATTGTAAAAAATGTTAATTGTTACTAGAATTTTTGTAAACATTTTTACAAAAATTTCCATTTTTATGTTTGGACAAGATGTTTCAAATTATTTATACAAATTTACAAGAATTATTTATTATTAAGCATACAACTCAATTAAAATTTTCAGGATAAATAAATAATTGTTGAGTATTACATTTTGTGATAATGAAAAAAAATCTTAAATATAACAATTATTTTTATGTTAATGAAAATGTAACATAATATTATGGTATTATTTTACTGTTTATTAATATTAGATACTTTTAGTTATTCTGTTTTTTAAATTAAAATTATTAATTATGTTTTTATGAAATACTAAACCTGTATTATGTGATTTTAAAATTGTGACTGTAAATTTATATTCCGTCCAATCAGTATGAAATGTTAAATTTTACTATTTATAATTATTTATACATTCTTAACTGTTATGTTAAATATTGTTAGTGAATACTTAATAAATGGCAAGTGTTTTTAATATATTATATTAAAGTGTATTCCAACAGATTTTATACTAAACATATTTTTTTACTATTCCCAAAGAACCAATGTTTTGTTGGAAATAGGTGTTTTAGGAATTATTAAAAGTGAGTTATGATAATAAATCCAACACCTTTGACAAATGGACAATTAATTCGTTATTGTCCTAAGTGAGAATTATCTTTACATAGTTTTTATTTTGATAACCGCTGTGTTGTTAATAACTAATAGGGCAGATGACTTGTACTTGTATATTTGTTTTGCACAGTCACAAAATTGAGTTTTTTTCTGATTTTTAAGCATATTCCCATTTTATATTTTTGAGACACAATTTAATTAATTTTATAATTTTTTCTCCAACAATGTTTTTATTATAAATAATACATCAAAACTCTTGGATCTAAATTTATTTTTTATTTTTGTCATGTAATATGATGATATTTGACTGCCCCCCGATGCATGGTCTCTAAAAGCCAAAAGGCAATAAGATGTGTGAATATTTTTTATTGATAGATAAATAATTGTTAGGATGTAACGTTGTATAACTGGTATGATTACGTCAATATATTTATATATCAATATTCAATGTGTCTAAATGATAGAATACAAATAGTTTTTAATACTTTAAATTTTAACCCTGAGACAAATAAAACTAATTCAAAATAAATAAATTCAGTTTAATAAGATATAAAAAATAAATAAAACTATTCTTGTTTTTAATTTTAATAGTATATTTTGTTATTTTGCATATTTTGGTATTAAAATACCTATTTAGTGACTTTAAATTGCTACATTTTCTCTGTTCTAATAATAAATTATCTTCAAAATTATAGTACCTTTTCATGGTTTATTTAACAATGTAGTTTTAAATAAAATAAATGAGCTATTTATTGTTAAATTGTATTCTGAAGTTAACTAATTCATGTTTTTAGAGCAAATTCCTCCAAGCGCTAGTAACAGCAATAAAGTATTACTGGACATTTTACTTATTCTAAATTACACTATTATAATATTTCACTTATCCTACAGTGAGTAAATCATTCTATGTGTAAGTAATATTGTTAAAATTATATATGCAGTCATGACTGATTAATTTTTGATACTAAATAGTAATGAATACTTAGAATATAATTAATCTAGTAACTAAAAGTATGCTAGCTTTGTATTTATTACAGGTTATATCTTTTTGTACTTAATGATATGTATATGCATCTTTATTTTTAGATCCAATACCTCTTGAAAATTTTCATTGGATATATGTTGACAAAAATTATTTTAATATTTTGTATAAATTAAGAATATTTTGGTTTTTCAATAGTAGAAACACTAAAAGAAATTGAAAATAATTATTTAAATACTTGAGTTCTGTACAGTATTAGGTTAATTTTTTTTAAGGTATTAACTAATATAATTGATTACTTCAATGATTTTTAGAAAACCTATTAATTTAGAATAAGGCGCTTTCTTAATGTTTTTAAAGGAAAAATAGTTTAGTTTATTTTTTCAATAGATAAAAAATTTAAATAAGAATTTCACTGCAGTATTTTCTATCCTTAATGCAAGGTAACCAATTTTGGCAATTCTATGATACATGTTTTTTTTCAAAGTATGATAAAATTGATAACCATTATGTTACAAATGTGTAATTAAACTTTTAGGTAGCGTTATTTAATTAATTTTTTTTGTTCTTAAACGTTTGGTATTGATATATCAACTTAATTTTTGATTTACATGCAGTTTAAATGTATATCATGATCTCCAAAGCCTTAAAACAGTTATAATTATTCATTGTTATTCATTGAAATACATCATATATTAATTTAAATTATACAAAACAGTTAACATAACCAAAAACATAACAGTTATATTGAAATAAAACCAAAGATTAATTTCTTAATATAAGTCACTAAAATAGGTGGGTAATTAATTAAATACAAGGTTATATTAGATTTAGAGGTAAAAAAATTACAAAATGGTTCCTATTATGTTAAATTAACTACTATGTTTAACAATTAATATTTACTACCACCATGATCAACTACTTGTGATTCTTTACTCCATATAGGTGGAAATTTAATGACTAGTACAGTAATGTTATCTAGAGATCCTCTATTATATGATTGTATTGTTAAATATTGGGCTCCGTGATATGAATCATCTATGTGTTTTTTAATACACTCAATGGCTTCTTCATTTGTAAATGTATCCCATAAACCGTCTGATGCTAGAATTATAAATTGTGGATCATGATGTGATAAATCAAATGTTAAAACATCTGGATTCGCTATAACAAATTGTTTCTCTTTTAATGGATAGTCTCCAAGTGCTCTAGAAGTTGCTAAAACTCCGGCAACTCTCCAAACACCATTAAATGATATAAAACCACCAGCTTCAGCAATACGTTTCTTTTCTCGCATCTAAATAAAAAATGAATAATTATATTTACAATCAATTTATTTAAACCGATATATTAGTTACAAAAATAATTACCTGTTGAGGTTTATGATCAAATGACAATGGTATAGCATTTCCTTTTTTATCACACATCACACCTCTTGAATCTCCAACATTTGCAACAAATAATGTAGTGCCTTCAACTAAAACAATGAGTGCTGTGCTGCCTAAAATCATTTGTTTTAAAGTTTCAAATTAATTTTGGTAAGGTTTTATAACAATATTTTTTATTTCAATGAAAATTATATTTTTCTATTGTATTTCCTACAGACAACAAAGTATTAAGATGTCTTAAAAAATACATTTTTTCAATAAATTAAAGTTAAAAAAAAAAAAAATGATGGCTCAAATATGCAATACTACTCAATTATATTAAACATAAATGTAACTCCTTTAATTTTATGTAGGTTCAACACTTTTTTTTTAATATTTGCAAAAATTTACGTATTTATAGAAATTTTTAGATAATAAAAATGTTAATAATATAAAACATTACCTGCAATATCATAAGTTAATTTTGCTGCTTCAATTAATAATTTATCAGCAGCTAGAACTTCATCAATTAATATTTTCGAAAAATTAATATTTCCATCTCTTTGTAAATATGAAGAAGGATTTATTGTTTCCTCATCAACATTTTTTAATGTAGTTATATCCTTTATTAAACTTAAAGAATCTTGTTTAAATTTATTATTTTGATTAATAACACTATCATCTGCAGAACTAGTAGGTTTCATTTTTGGAGTTGTTTGTTCTTCAACTTTAGTAATTTTCATTTTCATTTTAGGAGATAAATTATCAGATATATTTGAATTAAATGTTTTTAGTTCTTCAGTTATATTAGTTTTTTCATCAAGCAATTTTTTTACTTCAATTATTTTATTTGTAAGATTTTTCATTAAATGTGTTGTAGCATAATCTGCAGCAAACTGAAAATTATATGATTATTTTATAAGCCATGAAAAATTAATTAACCTTTTTATTGATCACGCAAGTTAAATTATTTTCTTCCTTAAATATAGATATAAAATTTTCCAAAAATACTTTAACAATAACTACACATTGATCTAAGTTTACGACTTGATGAAAACTTGTATACTGAATTTATAATCCTAAACCATCTACCAAAGTCAATTTGGCATCAATAATATTTACCTTGTGCAACTCAGTATTATTATCATTAATTTTATTGACACAATCAATTTTAATCGACAAATCAATAGTTTATTTATTTAACAAGTTCTAATCGTCTAATAAATTTAGATCATTATGTAAATCAATAGCTATATAAAATATTTGGTGGATACATTAGTTAGGAAATTCGTAATGACATCTATATTTCAGTTGAAAGTTTATTTACTACTTACGACCTATCAAATTTATATAACTGCAATACATACATATGTTAATTTTGAATATTCGTGTATATATATATATATAAATACAATTTTGTATAAAAACAACTAAAAACACTTTAATAAGTTAAAATACTTATGTATTTTATAACCAAATTTAAAATATTATATAAATTACAAAATAAAAATTGTTTTATGTAAGAAAATATCTTGAAATAAAGTATACATTTTTATATTATTTAGAAGTATTTTTTATTTTAAATGTTGGTAAGAATTTTATTAAATTTAATTCAGAGCAATTTAAAAGTTGTTTTAGAATATAATGTTTATAGCTGTTAAATTCATTATATTTTATAAAGAAATTAAATAAAATGAATGAAATTGTATTTTTCTAAGTAATAATAAGGTTAATTTGTATGTTTTACGTAAATTAGAATATTTTTAAAAATTATAAAGTATAATATAATGATGAACATTAAAATACTACTTTAAATTAATTTTAGTATAAATAAAAATTTAATAAATGCAGGACACGTATTTTAACATATATTTATTTTAATTTAAAAAGGTTATAAAAAATAATATTGATGTTACTTACTTCACCACCATGTCCATCAAAAATAGCAAATAATGATATACCAGTGTTCATAATATTAGTTTTAATAACATATCTATCTTCCATTTGCGATCGTCTACCTTTGATAGCATATAGAGCAACATTTTTACCATTAAATTTCCAGTTTTTACTAAGTGCATCTTTCTCATCAACCATTAATTGTTGAAAATCATTAAATCCAATGAATGATAGACTTCGATTAATTTTTTTTAAAAATCCATTTGTGCTTTTAAATAAATTTCCAGAGAAAAACAGTAAACAGAGTATTAATGCTAGAAAAAATATTACTTCTGGCTTAGTAAAATAAAATTGCATATATTTCCACATGTTGCTGTAAGAGTTGACTTTATTCTTAGCTGATGTCAGTTTTGATGATAATAACTTCATGTGTGTCAAATAAACTTGGTATATTATTTTGTCTTCAACACTATCATCCATTACAATAACCAAAATAATTGTTCACCATGAATTAATTAAATTTCTTTTAAAATAGTCTGTAAAAAAATTCTTTGTGTCAAAAAAAACTTTAATAGGTATGTAAAACAATAATACTTATAATATATTATGTTATAAGTTATAACTAAGTTTTGGAAGATGTAGAAGTTTTTTCTTTAATTATTTATGTATTAGGTATATTCAAAATTATTTAATATACATACATTTTTTGTCAAAAAATTTATTCAAAGATGCAAAACATCGATTCAACCACGGACCTCAGGGGTTCGAAAAAACTTTAACACATAACATATATCAATACATGATATGAGTGCATTATTACAATATTGTTAGATTATTATTTTTCTTTTCATATTTATTGTATTTTATTATACAAGAGATAGGATAGATATATCTTATCTTTATTACACCGATTACAAGACATAACGGAATGTGATATAATTAAATATTTACATTCTACAGTCTACAGTAGACTCTTCACCTAATAATTTAATTATTAATATTTGTTTATAAGTTTTTCTAGTTTATGCGAAATGTACAGATATACAGCACTTTAGTCAGCAGTAATATATTTACCACCAATAAGTGCAGTTGATCAATTGTACTCAATTACATATAGAAAAAAGCTGCAAATGCCTTTAATAAAATTGTATTATCAAATGATGGAATAAAAAATCAAATTGATAATTTGTTAGGAAATATTAAAGAATAGTTGATGAGAAAAGTTAATAAAAGTGACTATTTTAGTCTCCAATTTCATGAAGGTACTGATATAACAAGCAAATCAGTATTACTGTGTTATTTAGATACAAACACAAAAATATTATTTCTGAAGATATTTTGTTCGTAACTACAATACATACACATACACCAACAGTGAAAATATTTTGTAAAATTAAGGAATTTATAATAGCAAATGCAATTGATTAGACTAAAAATGGAAGAGTTGGTACAGGTGGTGCTCACATAATAGCTGGAAAATTTACTGGATTAATTGCACGCATTCAAAAAATCATATTATCAATCACATGCCACTATAAGTGAATTCATTGCTAAATTGTTGCTTCTAAAAAAAATACCGATGCAATTGAAAACAGTTTTAGATGAAGTCGTAAAAGTTGTTAACTTTATAAAAGCAAAATCATTGAATTCAAGATTTTTTTAACAACTTTGCAAAGACATAGATAGCGAAAATTATCAACTTTTGTTGCACTTAGAAATTCATTGGTTACCTTTAGGTAAAGTGCTTTCGTGTTTATTTGAATTGAGAGATGAGATAAGATTATTTGTTATAAACATAAATCATTTTTAATGAGTGAATATGTAAATGATTATGTTCGAATATGATGGAATTACAAACACAACTAAATACGAGTAGGATAATTTCACAGAACATTATTTAGAAAAATAATTTCATCGATACGATAATGGACGGATAAGAAAAACTATAGTTGTATAATAATAAATAATACATAGTAGTAAGAATAGATTAAATTGATATTCCAAGATTATTCTATATTAATGATAGAAATTATCAAAATCAAAATTAAATTGCCATAAAAGTGTCCGCTAATTGGAAGTGTCTGTTAAGAGAGGTTTCACTGTATTATAATTTTAACATAAGATTTTGTATAAAAGAAAAAAAGTTTCTAAAGGAATTTTCAATTTCTAAAATCCTTCATCAGGGGTTCATGGTGTTTGTGCTACCAATGTTTAAGAACCGTTGGTCTACAGCAAACATTTTTAATAATGTTATGTTTTTGTTATAGATATGACAACAGAGGCCACAACAAATATTATTTTTTATCCAACTGGGTTTCTCTTATAATTTTTTCTTTTATTTAAATTATAGTTATTTTAAACAAACAATTAAATTTAATATAACTTTTCTCATACACATATTAGATTATTTATATTTTATTAATTATAGCTTTTAATACTCCCATCTCTTGTCATAATTTATTTTGTGAAAAGTTTAAACATTTGATTATTATTTTTAACAAAATGTTATGACTATTTGGATACATTTGTATTTATAATATAAACATTAACTATTTGCAGGGATGGACAAGATAGTAAATTTATTGCGATACTAGATAAATTTTAAAAATTATATAGATATATATGTATAAATATACAATTATATAGATATACTCGTATATGTATATTAATTAGTTAATATAGACCACAAAATTCAATAACTTAATAATAATACATAGGCCATAAGTAAAGTTAAGTCCCGTTTAACGTGTATGTGTGGTATATCATAGTCCACAGATATAACTTAATATAGCTAATGGGTTGAAAAATAATTCTGTACAAGTTGTAAGCTACAGCCCACAGAAATCACCTGGAACTACTCAATTGTATTTGTATTCACAAAATAAATAATAATTATCATAGTAAAAATCAGAATTGTCGATAATTTAAAATTAATTAATAATGCTAATAAATTACGGTATTTATAAATTAAAATTTGCTGCGCTTTTTACACATATTATAGTATTTACTAAAACATAGTCAGTCACGGTTGGTAGATAGGCAAGTGAAAATCATTGTAAAAAATTAATTTTTAAATGTATCACGATATAAGTATTTCATATAATTGTATTGAGATACAAGATACAATTGTGTCTAAGATACTGCCCAATCATGAACATTTCAGAGTACCCGCATCAGCTCCTATTTGTCTGCTTTGGCTCCACTATTCATTTGAAGGTGGCCATATCAGTTCTCTTCAGATGCCAATGGTATGGACTATGGACGTACCGGCTCCCAATTAATAGTATTTTCCTTCTCATTTACAGGCTGAGGACTACAGATATGTTCACCAAAAGGGCTCTTAATGAACAGTTAGCTCTATTGGATCACAAGTTGGGTAATAATAAAATAGTATACATAGAACAATACTACGCCAATTGCTTGGAATAACAACACCAAGAAATGTAATATACACGTTAAATATATGATAAATAATCAAATATCAAGAAAGAGTGGACGTCTCTACAATTACAATGTATATATAATAATATAATATAAGAATAATAATTGATAATAATAATAATAATACCTAAACTTTTAATAATATGGTTTACATTCAAAAATGGGACACAATACAACCACTAAACTGAAGGAATGGTCAAATACCCAGAGCCGATACAGACTCATTAGAGCCTGCCAGGAGCCGATGCAGTATCATCCGAATATTTGTATGGAAGTAGTAATAATGTAAACACCTGAAAGGATTAAAATTCTAAAGAATAATTTTGATCTGAATCTTTTAACATTTTTTTTTTCTAACAATTTGGTTATTATTTTTATTTTTTTAGTTTTAATAGATGATTTAATAAATAATGTAAAAGTCTATTAAAGAATGACATAAAATTATAATAGACAGTTAAATTAAATACATGTGATTACTATCAATTTTTTTAATTAACCTTTTTTTTATTTAAATGAATTGCAATACTACCTAAATATATAAATAATAAATATGGTTTTAATAAAAAAAAGAAACATTTCTGTTTAGAGTTTATTAAACTTCTACACTTGTTACTTTGGTGACAACAAAGAATAAAAGAGAAGCAATATTGATAAGTGAATTCGGATAACCAGAATATTTCACCAAGGACTTTGATACATTATATATACACTAAATAAATTAATGTCGTTGGCTATTATGGTATGTGAAGATAAATATTAAATTATTCATTCATACATTTTTTAATGTTAAAATGTGTCTTTAATAATCATTATTTTAACGTCCTTTGTTCTCGTTCATCATGCAGTGGCCAATTGGCACACAATAAGATAAAAACAATTTAAAGTATGAACAATTGTCATAAAATAGTTTGATGTAATTGCATTTAAATATTGAAAGTACTGCAGAGACGAGAAAAAATTAGGATATTTCATTGCAGAGAATTTATATTTTTGCATAATTAGGTAATCAAAAAATGATAAAAGTCCTACCTAAAATATGGAGAAAAAAAATACTTACATGAGTAGATACAAATAAAAACAATAATGTTTTTATTATTTTGCTTAATCTGCAGTCGTTAAACATGAATATTAATTAGCACGGATATCTAATATGTAAACATAGTATACTTCAATAATGAATTGTTAAATTAATAATATTATGATCACAATAATAATGATAATAGTTTAGTATGATGTTATCGTGGATACTAGATGACAGTAGATCTCAGTACCCGTTGTTCCCCACAAGATTGTATGGTTCATAATCTTACTATCTAAAGTTTTGTGGAACATAATCGCTAAACGGACTTCTAGAGACTATCAGTGGAACGTATCGTACGGACATTTATAATCGAACGTAGAGTTAAAAGAGTAAAAAACAAATTTAATTTAATTAAAAATTACATAAATAACGCTGAATTCGGCTTTGGAATCGGGGAACTAGATGACTGGGCCGCGGTCACCGTTCATCGTATTCGACCGGTTGCCAGGTCGCTGCAAACAGTAACGAAACGTTTCGTATACTATGCTTGTATCATACGGAACAATAACAGTGTGGCCAAAATAAAATCATGGAATAAACAATAATTGTGCAAGGCGACTCGTATTTATCAGCTCTTTGCAATCTCCCGATTTCGATATTCGTCAAAAAACGGTTCGGATAACCGTGATTGTCGTACATAGTAACGATGAGTCAGCGAATTTGTGGTGTACGCGCCAAACCGTGATGTCTTAATGGCGTACGACCCGGCTGCCGCGTGCGTGTGAACAGTGATAACAGCAGGGGTTCCGCAGTGCACAGCGTACTCGGTGTAGTGTAGTGTACTGAAGTGAGCCGTAGTGTTGTCAGTGTGTTGTCGGCAAGTCGGACACTGTTTTCTCTGACATTCACATACGTGCTCCTTTATTTCATCGTTTACACCAAATATTGTTTTAATTCGCTGGAGAATTGAAGAATGAGCTACTGACATCGCGGCTACCACAGTCCATTGTCGTTATTCCTAAAGAAGTTATTTTCTGAGAATATCAAATTATGAACGACCAACGCAGAAATAAGGTAAATAAGAGAACGCAAATACGCCATTTGCATAAACGACTCGAGTACAACCGAGTACTGTGTACTGCCGCAGTTTGTGGTCTTAATGTGTTAGACACAACTACCGTCGGCCCATTCTGTAGTGCTTCTTTTTAGACCGTCTTGTGATTTTCGCAAACTAACTCGTCGAGTCGAACAATACCTACTGCTAACGCCATCGGCCATTTTTTTTTTTTGCAAATTCCAACCACAAGTCACATGTTTTTTTATTCTATAAATTTTTGAATTTCTTGTATCGAAAAAATAGTTACTTAAAAAAATGTGTGTTTTGCACTTTTGTTATTAATATTTGTATTTTTTACAATATATTTATATGAGGTTAGGTATTCAAGTATATTATTTTTATTGATAGGTTTATAGTGTACTCTCGATTATTCGCAGAATGAGGTGGCTTGGCTTTCACGGGTAAATGATGTCCGTGGATAATCGAAAATTCAAATTAAAACCAAAATTCAATGAAAATAAAATTAGAGTATGTTTTCTTTTTTATTTAAATTTTCATATGATATTACGTAAATATTATTAATTTTACAATATGTATATATAATGAAAAATTATATAAAATGAACAGACAAACATTATATAATTTTGTGAATATTGAATGGCCATGATTTTTGCTTGAATTCTTTTCATGCTAGAAGCCAATTATCACTATAGTTCAAATGCTTACTCCAAAATTTTTTAATCAATTTTTATACATTTTCTATGTTATGTTTTTTGTCTCATGTTGTTCTATGAATACCCATGTTAAAAATACTATTAGGTATTCAGTTTTTTCATTAAATGCACTAATTTTATTTTATTTTTTTCAAAAATTAAGTCGTCAAAATAAATTTTAGTAATTATATTTTATATAATTTGTATATTTTCAGAAGCTTAAAACCGAAGTAAAAAAAATTATGGTCTTTAGACCAACTTGGTCTGAATTTCAAAATTTTAGTCGTTATGTGGAATTTATGGAGTCTCAAGGAGCTCATAGAGCTGGTATTGCTAAAGTATGTATCTTACAAATATATGTTATAGGACTTGTTATTTTTTCATATTTTCTAAATTATATTAATTTAAATTTTTATTAGGTTATTCCACCGCCAGAATGGATTCCTAGAAAATCCAGTTATTACGATGATGATATAATGAATATGGTTATTCCTGCACCAATCTGTCAAGTAATTATTTTGAATACTTAATATGTTTTTAAATTTGAACGATTTCAATTTTGAGGTACTTTTTTCTGATAACTAGCTCTGTGGCAACTGTTAATAATGCTATTATTTTGACTACCCCTAGACTCATTTTTCATTTATGTTCATGCATAAAAGAAATGTCTTATTACTTTCCTGACAAATGTCTTAAAAAATTCACTGTTATAGTTATATATTTTATTTTTTTTATAGTCATATTTTCATAAGTTTCAATCTGTTTTCATAGATATCTCGAATGTAATTATTCCAATTTATTACTATATCATTATTATGATTCATAGCAAATTTTTTCTCTAAAAATGTAATAAACATCATATCTACAATCTATGATTAAATAAGACAAACAATTATTATCAGCATACATATAAACTTTTAGTGGTAATTAAGGTAGCGACAAATTATTTATTTATACTAATTGTATTCTTTAAGGATGTTCAAGGAAAACAAGGCATTTATCGTCAACTCAATATACAAAAAAAACCTATAACAGTAGCACAGTACAAGAAGTTAGCGGATTCCCCTGAATATATGACACCGGATTATTTTGATTTTGCTGAATTGGAGAGAAAATATTGGAAAAACATTCTTTATAAATCCCCAATTTATGGTGCAGATGTTTCGGGGTCCATTACAGATAAAGATGTAGAAGTAAGTGTTCTGTACATTAAAATAACTCCAAATTTATATTTACTTAAAAATTTACATCTATTATTAAATTAAGGTATGGAATATCAATAAGTTGGGTACAATTTTGGATTACGTCAATGAAGATTATGGAATAAAAATTGATGGTGTAAATACTGCTTATCTGTATTTTGGTATGTGGAAAACATCGTTTTCCTGGCATACCGAGGACATGGATTTATACAGCATAAATTATGTACACGAAGGAAGTCCGAAGACTTGGTAACTTTTATACATTTTGTTCTAAGTGATTTTTATTATTCATTTTTTTTTTATTTTTTTTTTTTTTAGGTATGCAATACCACCAGAATTTGGACGAAAATTCGAAAGAATGGCTAGTGGTCTATTTTCTTCCGATTTTTCAATCTGTCCAGCTTTTCTTAGACATAAAATGTCCATCATATCTCCACAATGGTTAACTACTCATAGTATTCCATTCGATAAAGTAAAAGATTGTTAACATCAGATGTTGTAAAAATATTTTATTTGTTTTTATTTATTTGTTTTAGATCACACAGGAAAAAGGAGAATTCATAATAACTTTTCCATATGGATACCATGCTGGTTTTAACCACGGATTTAATATGGCTGAATCGACCAACTTTGCTCTACCCCGTTGGGTAGAATATGGAAAACGAGCCCAACTTTGTTGTTGTCAAAAAGACAACGTAACAATTAATATGGATACTTTTGTAAGACGCCTACAACCTGAAAAATATGAATTGTGGTGTAATGGAAATGATCATGGTTATCACCCAGAAGACCCCAACCATAGTTGTGTAACAACTTATTCTCGTTAATAGTGTTTATTTATTTTTTATGGTAGCTCAAGTTTTCAAGAGCAAATTAGTTTTGAATTTTAGTATTTAAGAGGACGTCGTACCCGCATATGTTATCTCCGTCTTACAAATGCGTAACATAGCAAATATTACGTTCAGAAGATCACGGTTAACTCCTTTAAATTGAAAATTAGAGTGAATTGACCTCTTTTGAAGTTTAAAAGTGAGATTATTATCTAGGACATCTCATAGGCTTTTTATTATATTTTAATTTTAAAGCGAGTTATGTGTGTTTTAAGACGTGCAAGCAATTTACAATTTTAAAATACTCATAACTTGCTTTAAAATTAAAATATAATAAAAAGCCTATGAGATGCCCTAGATAATAATCTCACTTTTAAATTTCAAAAGAGGTCAATTCATTCTAATTTTCAAGCTGAAGGAGCTAAACGTGATCTTCTGAGAGTACTATTTGCCATGTTACGCATTTGTAAGACGGAGACAACATATGCGGGTACGACGTCCTCTTAAGTATAAATAACCAAATAATTTATATTATGAGCATTGTATCCAAAAAGCCTTAAATATTTTTTTATTTAAGATAGTACAAATTGTAAATATTAATCAAAGTCAGGTTTTTATTATTACTGAATTTTATTTTTCATTTAATAAATTAGTATCATGTGTATATTCATTTTCTATAATATACGAAATGCAATGATTAGGATACATCATTTCTTTATGCATGATTAATGTTTAAATTCAAAATTAAGTAACTGGTATTATTGTTCTTATTTTACACTTATATAAAGATTTGTAGATCATAAATGGATAAAAATAATGTATTGAAGGATTTTTTTTAAATTGATCAGTTGTCAAGGAAAAAGTATTTTTAATTCATTTTATATTTAGGTATTGCCTTTATTATAGCAACTAGCAAGTTAATTGTTCAAGGTTAGAACTTGAACCAGTAAATTTATTAACGCATGAGAGACTGCAAATTATAATTTTATATTTTTTATATTAACTATATAATTATATTTTATAATGTAGTGTGTATTTTTTTTTTTATATATATATTTTATGAAATTATACTTTTACACTTATAAATATAATAGAAAATATAGTTAAGTATTTTAATGTAAAAATTATAGGATATTTTATTAATCTAAGTATAGAATAATTCCTTCTGTTTTTTCCAATTAATATCACTACTTAATATTGTATTTAGGTCTAATAAGTTGATATATATTTATATATATATACATATTAGGTTTGATAAAATTTTATGTTAAAAACAGATTTTTATTCATTAATAATTAGATTTTAGTTTAATTAATTTAAGTTAGAATGCTCAGAGTATTAAATTACTATTGACTCTAATTTAATTAATTACATACCTTCATAAGTCATCTTAATTTAATATAAATACTTCACACTCCTCACACCATACACAAATTTCCGTCCATACACGATTGAATCTAGATGAATTACCGTGTTAAGCATATAGTTACTTGTCTTCCTAATTTCTTTAGTTGTCGTCATTGCCTTTCTACTACGCAAAAATAGTTAGTCTAAAAATAAATAATAAATTGAATATTTCTAATTCTTTTTAATATTTTTACATTATTCAATTAATGATATATTATGGTCAAACTCTTATACTTATAATAATTTTCCTTTTTATAACGAAATTAACCATCTAATTTTCGAAGTGTACACAGATTGTAGTTAAGCAATTAATTTATGCTTGAATATAAAACCTTCATATTAATTTTAACCTTTAATTTTTTTTTTAATTACTACTGCTTCTTATACAGTTATCAAAATAAGGTTATATGTCTATATGCTTAATATTTTATATCAATTTGAAAATTAAGTCGTTTTATGTGAAATAGAAAATGTCAATAAAGTAACCGTTTATTATTTTAACCATGTACCACAGGTTATAATATTTTTCAATCTAAGGTTATAACATTATAAGTTAATTTTTTTAAATAATTAATCGTCTTTAATGTCTTAACTTGAAATATAATGGTCTCTTTATCAAACTTATTTTAACCATAATTTATACTAGCCAAAATGAATAAATCTTATACTTTCAGAATTACTTCATATACATCTTCAAATAGATAAATATGTATAATAAAATGTTTCATTTCATATCTTTGGCTGTGATTCTAATTACTATTTTATTATAATTATTTTTAAATTCTCATAATTTTTTTATAAGTATAATATTAGAATTTTGATCTCTAAAAAAAGAACAAGACTGTTTTAGTTTTTAGAATTTCATGTCAGTATTTTTAACTACTTTGTGATCATAGGTCTTTACTATTAAACAGAACATTCTTGTAGTGCACATAGTTAACAGTGGCTTAACACATGTTATGTCATACATGTACTAATACAAAGGACAAACTAAGTGTACAAAAACCTTAGAATGAACGTATTTACACCAAACCATTCGCCAAGTTACTCTGTCTATTAGTATAGTTCACTTTAGATTATGTTTTTAATTAAATTCATCTTCATTAATCTTTGAAATTAATCTCATTGTTTAATGTTGTTTGCAATGTATGATTTATGTTTTAGTGTGGCATGTTATTTATTTTAATTGATGTTAATCTATTTATTTATATTCAACATGTTTTAATTTTAAATATTAGTAGTTTTAGAGGTGTAGATACAAAAGCTATTAATACTTATAATTTTTTTTTTTATTAAATTTTTTATTGTAGTTGATTGTTGTATGTTTATGTATATATTAACATCAACGTATTTAAGATTTTTAGTATGCAATTTGTTTATTTATAATATATTTCAGTATAATTAAGTATTTGCTAAGAATTTATCATTATTTAATGTTTATATGTATTATAAACCGCTTGATAACAATGAGCCAATTTTAGTATGTTCTTATGTATTAACTTATGAATAGACACATATTTTTCATTATTTTATTTTATTTGATTTAAAAATACAAATAATTATTCTGAGGTATATATATTTAAAAATTTAAAAAACTTTTTTTTTGAGGGTAGCCATAAAACTCTTTAAAAAAGAATTTTAAACAATAATATTTGAGATGAAAAAAATTTATGGATAGTAATTATATTATACATAAAATGAATGTCAGTATACTACCTATTTGTTTTTTCTATGATCTATGAATATTATGGCATTCTATTTATGGAACCAATCTTATGTTAGTCTTAATATCAGAGTGCCTTAACCTGTTATAAAACTTAAATGTAAGAATATTATTCAGAGCACTGTAATTTTAAAATATTAAATTTAACTATGTAAAATATGACTATTTTAAAATGATTATAATTTGTGATCAAATAAAAATATTAATAAAATCTTTTGAGGTTCCCTAGATGATATTTTACCTTCAAAAAGTTTGATAAAAAGTTTATTTGCTCTAATTTTTAAGTGAACAATACAAAATTGGTTTTGCTGAACTTAAATTTTCCATGTTATGTGTGGGTCTGAAAAAAAATACATATGTAGTGTACGCTATTCTTTTAAAATACTGTGTATACCTAACCAAATTTTATTTAAATCAAACATATAAATTGTGACTTTTTAATTTTAGAAACGTTTTACAGGAAAAATATATTAAGCTTTGGTATACACAGTGATGTAAAAAATATTTATATAAATGTTTAAACAGATTTGACACTTGGTTTGTATTAAGAATATAGTGTTTTGATAAATTTTATTTTGGGGAAGTTTTTTTAAAATGACAAAATTATGTTACATAAAAATAATAAGAAATTCATATTCATATATATGCATATTAACTCTATACTTTCAAATAGTATTCATACAAACTATTGATAAAGCATCATATATTCATACCTATTTTTATTTAATCATAATATAAGATTAGTCAATATTGTTTATCATGCATGGTTATGTTACAACTTTTATTTTGCTATAACACTAATAGTGGTAATTGTTTGTTGATCTTTAAAAAATATACTATAAGCTACTGACAAGTGACAACTGTCTTTTATAATATGGTTAACAAATAACAAATAAGTTTATCTTTTTATGAGTGTTAAGAATCATTGTATCAAGATTCTTAATAAGTTTCATAAAATTGTATAGAGTAATAATATTTAACAAGTTTGGTACTACAAATAATTTACTGTTTCTATAAGAAATCGATTTCGATTTTATTACTCTATACAATTTTATGAAACCTAATTTTATCAAACAGTACCTATAATCCCGAAGATATTATGTTAGCGGTATTGGATTAAATACCAATTCATAACATATTGTTTTCTATTAATTAAATAAAAAAATAATTGTATACCTACCTATAATTAAAATAATAATGAAATATTTATTGAGATTTAATAAAGTAACATAAGAAAGTTAAGTGTAAATAATTTAAATATTATATATTTTATATAATTTATATCAAACATAATCAAAAAATATAATTAATCATAATTTATTTATAATTTTAATAACAATTATAATATTGCTAAATTGTTTTAGAACAAATCTTATGTTTTCTAGATTTATACATATCTGCTTTGTTTCAATTTATATACCATGTTGTTTTTCGAACTAAAAATCTAAAACAAATTACTAACTCTAGTATAGGTACTGTATAGCGCATATTTAGTTTATACTCGTACATGAAACAAAATCTAAAACGACAGTTATTATATCTTCCAAGCATTTTTATCTTAGTAATTATTTTAAATAAGTTATATATAAATTAGTGCCGATAGGGTTTTGAACGTCACTTCAATAACCACTAACGACTGAGAATGAAGTATCGTTTTTTTTTCTGGCTTAAATGATCTTTTCCGGATTATAGATCGTTAGTGACGATTCTGAAAAAAAAGAAACCAAAAATCTCTTTACGGATATTTTTGACCATATATCTTTTTTTGGAGATCGTGTGATTTAAAAAATTTACATATTGTCGATATCTGGATCATGTCCGACCTGAATTATTCAAATTAATGAAATAGATATGTAAACAGCGTTTACTGTGACACTTTGAGTTTCAAAGTGATACACTCTAAACATATCGGGTACGATGATTAACATGACATGTGTGTCCGTCGACCTCCGAGGTTCACGAACCACATACAAAAAATATTCCAACGTGTTGTCCAATCGAACAATCGAATTCAAGTAAGTGGAGTCATATATGATTTCGCGTCCTAGGGCTAAAACTACTTTAGCATTCCTTCTTTTGCCTTTATTAGGGGTTTCCACATTAACATGTCAAAAAAAAACTTTCCGTAACTACAGTTAGAAACATAGACCTTATGAGTATAAGGTCTATGGTTAGAAATTTACTTAATTACTAGGTACTTACATTTATTCTTTATCACTATCTATGTTAAAACTCATTTCAAAAAATATTTTATCACAATACTGTTAAAAATCTATATTTTTTCTTTTAATTTCACTTTTAACTTTTAAAAGTGCTGAAAATTTGCATAAACATAATGTCAATTGGCATGTGTATACATTAAAAAGAATATATTTTATAAAAATTGAATAAGTTTATTTAAATGTTAAAAACAAAATCACAAATTTTTCTCTCTTTATAGCAAATGTATGGATAGCGTCTAAACTCCACTTGGTCAAATCCAACCTATCAGTTAATGAACGATTAATGATTATTAGGTAATAATAATAACTCATAAATTTTGCAAACAAGAGGTAATTATTTTTGTATAAATATAATATAATTTATAGTTTTATTTCGCCGAAAATAGATGGACGTATTAATAATACATTTTAACGATATCACAACCGCTGCGGCCGTTGACTTATTCCCGGGACAAACGTATTATCGTTATTGATATAATGATATCGCTTATAATTTTTTGTTTACAATTATTATAAAATATAAAATATGAATACTTCGTAATAAAATACAGTACTTGCGTATAATACTTGAAAATTGCCAGACAGACATGGCATAAAAAAAAAAAAAAAATGTAAATACTCGTAGTAAGCGACAAGCGTACCGTGCAATCCTGAGTCACTCACTAAAACAGTAGTTTTCAACCAGTGTGTCGCGGCACACTGGTGTGCCGCGAGCGCCTTTGAAGTGTGCCGCGATAAATCTATTGATGAAGTTAATTTTGTATATATATATGTATTTTAACATATGCTTCACGTATTATATGAATTGGTGTACCGCAAAAAATTTGTAGAAGAAGTGTGCTACATTGTTAAAAAGGTTGAAAACCACTGCACTAAAACGACCCTGGCCGTATTCGTTCCCAAATCGATCACCATTCAATATTTTACGAGTTTACGGCATAAATTTATGATAGGTGTTGTGCGCCAAAACAAAATATCGGTAAAACGTTTCGTGTGATTCATGTGAAGTGAACCCCGTCCAACACTTCGCGAACTCCACATCCGCCTCGCATACGATTAAGATATTGACGGGTATTGAACATCGAACGATTTAAAATTTTAAAGCCCGTGTACAGGAACGTAAACTAGTATCTAAGTAATATTTTCCGAATAGGACCACTCGTCGTATAAACGCCGAAGATAATATTAATAACGAACGATATTATTGTTTGTCGTGGTGCGATCAACAAGTTCATTAGTACGTTTTTTCGAGATATGAACAGTGTTCGTTACGAATCCTTTATAAATACTCCTCGATTCTCTAATGTACCTACTTACCGTACCACTAGATTAAAGCAATCATATACACAAACTAGATACTCGATAGTATAGCAGCAATCAATCGTCCTACAGTGGTTAAAGTGGAGGAGAACGAGGGGGACGGAGCAGAAGTTCAATATTTATTCAAACAAAACATCATCAATAATAACTGCTTTAGGTAAGACAGATTAGATAGTTTAATTATTAAATAATTTAATTATAACTATACTTTTGCTTAAAAGTATTATATGTAAAGACTGGATTTATATCCATTTTAAATATATGCATGCTGCATGCATCATTAGGTAATACATTATAAAAAATATTTTATTAAAATGAAATAATAGATACATTGGTGATATAAATAGGAAAAAAAATACGATTTAATGTAGTGTGATAATTAATTGGTAAATTCCTATCTATGAAACTGGACCCTCCCCATAGAAAATTTCTAGCTACAACCCTGTATCAGCTATATATTAATCTGATGTAAATTGCGAGTATGTCTACAAATCTAAGTTTATTTACCATTCGATTTCCTATTTATCTATTTACAGGGTATTGGGTATTTTATAATCATATATTATTACCGAAATTAATGTTTAAAATATTTATTAGTCCCATAAAAACAATAATTTAATTTTGTGAATTTTATATTTTTATTTTCAGACTTTTTTAATTATTTGATTTTTTTTTATTTGACTTATACTTTTGTATTGATAACGTTCTTTTTTTTTTTTTTAATCGAAACAATAATATTTGTAAATTGAAGTTATAAAAAGAATGACATTCAAGCATAAAATTGTAAAAAAAATACTAAATATATTGTATTCTAGCTATTTTATTAAATTTTAATTTTGTAAATTAAATAATTTGTTTGTTTTGGATTTTTTGACTGAATTCAAAAATTTGCTTGGATTGTTAACTTGACAATAAAAAAAGGTCCAGACTTTTCAAACTATTCATCAGTGAATTATTTTTTCATAACTAAGATCATTAATAACTTTTAGATTAAAGTTGTTATATAATTATTGATTCATTCAGATTATTTTAAATAACTACTGAAACTTAAGAAAAATAATGAGCTCAATAATATATACTTCTAATCATAGAATTGAGTGCCTGCGTTATCCATTTAAAAATTAAAAATTATAATTTATTTTCTTTTATTATATTGTTTAATCTATTAACAATTTATATTTATACCTACATTTATATTTTGGAGAACATTTCATATTTTCATAGTATTTTACTTAAAATGATCTAATATTATTTATTAATATACTATTAATAGTAGATTATAAAGTTATGTTTATGCCAAATGTTAATGTTTAAATATTCAAAATATTCCAATATTAGGTATAACAACAGATAGGTAATAATATACTAAAATGTCCACGTTATGTAACTTCGGACTTCTAGCTGTGTGATATAGTATATTTAAAGTAGGAATTCAAATACCTATATTATATAATAAAAATTTAGGTAGTTATATTAATTTATATACAATAGACTTGGATCTCCTATAGAAGTCAGCCGTAGCGAAATGCCATCATGATATCTATTAACGTTTGACACGTTTACTTATTGTTATTACATTCAAATTCTACAGGAAACAATCAACTTCCGAAACACTAAAATAAATGCTTGATGGTTGATTGTCGTTCACTTTGTACGGAAAAACAATGACCGGATAAACATAGACTCGTATTATGGGCTATCTAGCTGAAGATATTATGCATTATGAACTGAGGTTTTAAATTCTAAGCACAGTGATGAATTAATTTTACATTTACAATCATGTGCGTTTTTTGTGTCTGTATAAAGTATAAACAATAAGAATTTGATATAACTTCAATTTTCAACTTTGAGAGTATGGTATCTGGTATCTGATAGCAAATTGGATCTAGTTTTTACTTTAGAAAAGTTAAATTTAAACAAAATCTACTTGATTTTTATGGAGTAATATAAAACCAAATGACCTTAAGAGGACGTCGCACCCGCATTAGTTGTATACGTCTTACACATGTACGATATAGTAAATTTTCGTTCACCAGTTTTAATAGTGTGCTTTTAGTTTTGATATTAGAGTAAATTGACCTATAATCAAACCTTTAAGTAAAAACATTATCTGTGTTCTCACCGTTGGTTTTTTTACGATATTTTAATTTTTAAGTGAATTATGAGTATTTTCATGTATTTCTATTTTTCATACGCATAATTCACTTAAAAATTAAAATATCGTAAAAAACCAACGGAGAGAACACATGAGGATGTGACGTCCTCTTAAGTAGGTACTTGAAATTTTAACCAAATATAATATATGTTAGCGTTTCCTAGATATAGTATTTTTTTTCATAATATTTTGACTCTTTTTTTCATAGATATTTATAAACATTTGAAATTTCCATTTTATTTTTTCATTTTTTTCAATTATTGGCGATAAAATAAATTTTCGCTCGGTCAAAAAGCTTATAAATTGAATACAAGATTTCATCTAACTACCTACGTGAGTTGCTTTTATAGTTATATAAAAATAATTAAAATGCACAGTCACAATTCATTTTTTTATACATTTGAACTTTGAAGTTACACAAAACTATGAATAACGATTGAATATAATAATAGTAATGAATTGATTATTGATTTAAAGTATTTAAAGTATAATCACTCTGCTGACTGCTCAATATGTGTGACCGTAAAAATGCAGATGGTTTAGGGCGGTGATGCGAAAATAATAATGGAGGGTTAGAACTCTACAAGCTCCTTCGGGCTCTGAGAGAAAAATCTTTGTTAACTTCCGGAGGAGGAAGAGGAAGAGGAAGTGAAACACAATTTGTACGAATCGCACTCGCCGCTCGGCAATGACGGCAATGCGCATCTGTTCGAATTCTTTACAGTAGGTACCTCCCTTATCCCTATCAATATTAACTGCGGCGATGAATATTTTTTTTTACACGTCCGACGTATACGACACTTCGAGTACCGAACCGTACACTCGTCGATAATAAGTAGGTCACCACAGTGACCTATTTATTCGTGGAATATATTATTATTGTAATATCATAACAGGTTATTGACTGTTTTACGATACCTGTACACAGCACACACACACACACACACACACACACATATATATGTATATATTACAACAATACGATACGCCGGCAGTAGCTGGTAGTATAATGGCGTAATTCAATATTTACACTGGCGAGGAACATAATAATTATTTACGTATCGTATACCCGAACCTGACATTCTGCGATAGGTACGCAAAAGGGGGACGATTAGATTATTATTTTTGAACCGGAGCAACAGCCGCGTTTTGAGCGGCTCACACCGCTCGGACGCGTAGCCGTCGCGTTTAAAATTTCAGATCGATGGTTATAACAAGTAGGCCGCCGCTACACGCGCGCGGACGCGAATACACACACGCACGTCGCGCACGGACGTACACGCACCGGCGCAGCGTAACACGCACACGGCACACAATTTGTACGTGCACACACTCGTGGTACGCGTTCACACTTACACGCGCCGCGCGCCTGCGCACTCGGGTAGCGCATGATCCGCTGATATCTTCCGTGGTTTATCAATGGTAGCGTATGGTTGGTCGCATACTATAAAACCGAATGCACCGAATCACCGGAGTAGTGATTGATCGCGTACGTTGCCGGCGAGTCGCGCTCCGTTCTCTCCGTACCGCACAGACGACGACGTTCTCAGTTAATACTATTTTAGTACCTATTAATAATATTCGATTCTCTCGTTTTATAACACCCATCGCTGTTATTGTTGACTGATAATTCGATATAATTTATTTTACTGTCCCGCCACCGATCGGTCGTCCGTAGAACATAAATAATAATCTGTGCCCTTCTGCTCGATTTTTTCGATTTGATTATATTTTATTATCGATCATCAATTTACATATCAGTCTTACGTATCTCTGGTAAGTTATTTTTAATTTACCTATCATTATTATTTCAATCTAGCTCTCCGGAACTTACGTATAGTAATATTAAAAGGGTCGATTCAATTTTCTGTTCGGTATAGGCGTGTCTGTTATTGTTTTTGGGGGCGGCAGGGTAGACGTTCGACATCTTACTCCCTTTAAATTATTGAGATCAAGTAGATCAGCATTTATTGTTTTATTCAACTGAATTTCGATTTATCGCAAATTAATGATACACAGTATCCACTAGGTATAATTAATTAAAAACAAAACGAAATATACATTTTATTAGGGTTGTATCATTTTATACCCACTACAAATTTTACTATTTTATTTTTTGTACTCTTGCCAATAATTGAATGTGAACACGCCTATAAAGTGGATGTGCAGTATACTATTTGAGAGAACCTATTGTTTCTTAATTACTATTGTTGTCTATTATTGTGATTTTAGATTTCCAAATAAAAATAGAAAATTATAGTTATAATATTTTAGTTTTAGTAGTTTTTCATATTATAAATCTAATAAATAGAAATAATAGCCATCAAGTGCCTATGACTAACTCAATTAGCAATTACTATAATTTTGTATCATAACTTTCAGTAAATGGTTATATTATAATTTGTATAAATACTAACATAATAATATATTTTTTTAAATTAATAATTATTTAATATGTACCCATTTTATAATGGTTATGTAAGTATATACTTATATAGTTAAATATGATGTAAACTACCTAGATTGATTGGAATTTGCCCATGTATATAATGTAAATATATTTATGTTTTATGTTTAATACTTCTAGTTTTGCATATTTGTGTATAGTATTTCACTAATAAAATAATTTAAGTATTAAACCTAACAAGGTAAAAAAAAAATACTAATCTGAAGTTAGGCAACAAATATTTAATTATATGTAATGAAATTAATAATTTATGTGTCAATAAAAGAAATTCAAGTATGCAGTAAACATAGTTCAATTACCATTTCTGTAATGTGTGTTTTTTAAGTTGCTTACAACATTTAAATATTTTATTTTTAATATGAATTTGTGGTTATTACCAAATAATAAAGAAGAACTAGTGCAAATGCTTTAAGAGAGAGGAGTTTTACTACTTGTTGGAGTATGTTCATATAATCATGAAGCCATATTATAAACCACATGCAAAATTTAGAAAGATTATCTGATTATGACTTATGAGGATTATTAAAGTGGTATTATAAACTCAACATAGAAATCACATGATACTGCCCTGGTTAATATTTGACAGAATTTATTTGATAACAAAATCCCATCAATATGAACCAATTTAATTCAATTTTTAGAGACAGAATTTTTTTTACAATACTAATTTTGTATTATTTTATTTTATATATAGTTGAATGGTGTTATGTACAAATATATAATAATACACAGTGATATTTCATATTATTTATTAATTATTAGCTATTTAATTAATACAATTAAGCAAAAATAGCAGTAATATTTTAATATTATCCAGTAAATTCTCAATTGATCCAAGTAGTCTGGGTAATATGTAAGAATCTTTCTATCTGTATTTAAAACTTTAATGAGTGGTGTTTAGTTATCACCAAAGTGTGGATTTGTATGTATTTACATATTTATTCTGATGGATTGCATAATATGCTAAGTGAGCACAAAAATTGTTTCATGACATAACAATTTAAAAAATGAAAATTTTTTAATGCATATTTTTGCATATTTTGACATTTTTTTATTTTAAGGGCTTACTTTAAAATTTGAATTGCATACATAATTTTTTAGTGCAATTTTGATGTTTTTTTAGACATTTTTTAAATATATACTATTGCAATTTATTATAATATAAGAAAAAAATATTATATTTATATATAGTTTCAATTAAATCAAAATAAATTAATAGTTATTAACAGTTTTTCCAAATATGATCTTAGATCAATAATCAGTAAAATAAAATATATCAAGATAAGAAAATATCGATTACGACCATGATTGAATACTGACATTATTTCACTATTGTTCAAAAAATAATTATTTTATGTATATTTTTACATTTTAATTTTTAGTGTATATATTTATGCATATTTAAGATTTTTTAGTGCATATTTGGTTGGTTTTTAATGCATATAAATCCATGCTTTAGTTATCACAAAATTGTCACAAAATATCAATGTTTCAACTTGTTGGTTAAAAGTACCTAATGCTAAAGTTCCATCATTATTATAAATGCTCTTTCAACTCAGAATTAAATAATATGAGTACCCAATCAATATTTTTAACAGAACATAAAAATCTAATGAGGTCATTCTTTTGCTGTAATTGCTTGGATAGTTTAAATTAAAATCACTCCTCAGTTTATTATGTAAAATTACCTTGGGTAGGTCATAAAATTGTAAAAATTACAAACATCAAATAGCTATACCTAACATTAAAACTGATTTCCGTGAAATTCTGATATCGCCATCATTGTTAACATGCAAAAATATATTTATTTTTTTTGTAGAAAAAATGTTACCAGTGAAGTTGTTTTAAACCATTATTTCTTTTTTAAATAGTTAAAATATTATTTATCTAGTTTTTTTTATTAATATAATATGTTAATAAATTTTGAAAGTAGTATATAAGTTATTAGCTTTGTACAATAGGTAGTTGTACACTTGCACCTATAGCCTAATTTATGTAATACAACAATAGATAGTTGTACACTTGTACCTATAGACTAATCCATGTAATATAACAATAGGTATCTGGTCAAAAGTTTGAATATTAGTTATTATTTTTGACAGTGTAGCTATTCAATGTACCTAATGTCTTATCTGGCCTTGTCTATATAAACATGATACATTTTATTAGTTTATTGATTTATATTGCTTTTAAAATATTTATTTAACCATAAAATAATAATTTATGCAAACTATTAACACAAAACACAGTGATAATGATATATTTTTATTATAATTTATTATTAAAGACAAATATTTAATTAAAAAAACCAGGAAACCTGTTCTGCTGTATATCAAGTTTCAAATCTATCTCGAGAAGTCATTATTATGGATATGTTAAAATATTGTTGTTAATTTTTTCTAATTATTATTAAAAAGTTCTTATATTTTCTACTTATAATTTTCCAAAATATAAATTAAATTACTAGAAATCAATATCAAAAATGATGACTATACTGATGTTTATACTGACTTATAAATTATTATACAGACTGCAGTGAATATTTAAAGCTAGTAAACTATTCACTATGAGTTTATAAATATAAATGTTATCTTTTATATCAATATATGGTTTACATAAAACTAGATGCTGTTTATATTTTTTTTCTCAAATTTTAGTATTTTAATGATAGGTTTAAACAAATATTATTTTTTTCAATCTTGGTAAGAATAAAATAAAATTGTGATGAATTAACATACATACAAAGACATTTAATAATATGCCTTCTGTTTTTATAACAAGTACAAATAATTCCTATTTCTTCTAAAATGTATAAAATTTATCTTTAGCACTTCCTGTGCATGTGAAACTGAGTAATGGTTGTAAAATGTTATTCATGTATATTATTTTAACTTTTTCAGGTTAAAATATGGCCAACCAGTCAAATCCTGTGAAAAAAGTTCCTATTCATTTACAGGTAATTATATGTTATTTTTAGAACAAAGTATTAACTGTCTATGTGGTATTTAATATTTTAATATTTAATTAGGTACATATAATTATTATTGCTATGAAATTAATTAATTAATTTCATGAGAAGAAATGTATATTTTTAATAACTACATAGTAATTACTCACTGGACCATATCGTATCATGTTAAATATGTTAAACACTATATTGTGTGAGATAATAAAATTACATCATTGCAATCTACTATAATAATACAATTAATAACATTATTATTCTATTCAAACTTCATTCTTCATGATATAATCTATAGTAAAATTACTATAAATACTACTCAGAAATTTAAATTTGAATTTTAAGAGTAAGCAAGTGAGTAGACACTGCTCTACTATACATTAGTTTCGGGTGGATCACTATTATGGGTGTGTATTTGAATTAAATGATATGTCATTGTACATGGAAAACAATTCTGAATAGAAATGATCTGTTAGAGTATCAGCCTACATCTCTAATAATATATTTAATAATATGTTTTTTTATATAATAATTTATTAAAATCATTTATTTTATTACTAGAATATAATTATTGCAATATTTATTTATACCATATTATATTAACTTGTATAACTCAAAATTTAATAACATCCTTATGTAAATACCGTAAATAATATAAATAGATAATATTTTAAAATAAATCAAAAATATTATTGCATTATTGCATATAATAAAATTCATAATAATATAATAATATACATAAGAGTTCTAAGTTTCAGCAAAAAATGTTTTAGATTATAATAAAGTTAATGATTGTTTATCTTTAATCAATTTCATCAAAATTTGAATTTAAAATACCTATAAAAAATAATTACCTTTATATATTTTCATATATTTTATGATTTCAGCATTTATAAGGAATCTTAAATTATATTTTTATTTCATAAATTTCTAAGTGTAAAAAAGTTGCAATTTTTTATGATTTTGACAAAATTTGTCATAGTTCTAATACTAAATTATGACGTACAAAAAACAATAATTGTGCTATAAATTTTTAATATTTTTATACAGATACAAGAAAAACTTACAGAAATCTTGTATTAAATTTTCAATTATTTTTACCAAATAAATAATTTTTTATAATATAATAATATAATATAGTATGTAATAAAAACAAGGTATAAAAATATTTATAAAAATGTTAATGTATAGGTACGTATTTGGAAAATGTATGGTACACAACTGATAATCGAAAACATAACTAAATCATTTGTCATTTTTCGAATAGGAAAACCATTAAGATTGGCTGTAGCCCATAAGCGCAAAATATGACCCAAATTCAATCCAAAAGTGCAAAAATAAATATTCCAAAAGCACAAAAAAAAAAAAATATACCCTTTTAACAAACTATAAACGCAAATAAATTTTACATATAAGTCAGGTATAAGTTTATACTTTATATATATTGTATTATTATCTTAAATGATTTTCAACCTTCACCGTAATTTTTTACAATAAAATAGATTCGATAATACTTAACTTCAACTGAACACGATAACTGTCCATGTATTTTTTATTTATAAAATTATTATATATATTTAATTAAAATTGATGATTTGATTTAATAATTAATAAGTTTGAAATGAAACTTATAGTGTGACGGGTACAATATTTATTTTTGCACTTTTATCCCACTATACAAGGTATACAAAAGCGTTCAATTTGCATTTTTGGGTTTCACCGTAAGATAAGATAAAATATGAACGAAATGTATAAAAGATAAATATAGTACTTTTATTACTTAAACATTTTCGATGTGTGAATGAATTGTGTTTATTTATGATAGGTAATTTTTAATTTTGGAATCAGTTTTTAGTGTCCGCGTCCACAATTAGGAGTATCTACTATTAAGAGGTTAAACTCCTGTTATGTGCTTACATTTTTGCCGAGGAATTTAAAAGTGTCCAGTATTGGGAAAGGTCCACTATTGAAAAGTGTCCATTAATATAAGTTTCACTGTATATCAAAAAAATCAAAAATTTTACAAATATATAAAAATATACGTGTTTACTCACAAACATGTATAAATAATATGTAATATATTATTACAAACAATTTACTCAGAAACATTTATAATATAAACTAAAATCAATTATTATTATTAATTTTAATGTTGGATTAATAAATTTTTCCTTCATTATTACATGATAAATGCCATATTGATGTTGTTATAGAAAAATAAATTATTTATATTAATACTAAATAATTATAAAATGTTCTAAGAAGTTGTTACTTTGACATAGCTCAGAGTCGTGATTTTTCATTCAATTCGTATTTAACACATTCATCACAATAATACCTACTATCAATTAGGAGGTTTACTTGAAACCTAATTCGCAGCATAGTAACTTATCTCCAGTCAAAAATTAATTTTTTAAAACAGCTTTGATATTTTTTCGATTAATTTAATTACCGTTATATTATTAATATTGTCTTAGTTGTATTCGACTCAAAAATCACGACGACTGGTCAAAATATCTTCGAAATAATATCTTTTATACTGATTTTTGTTAGCTTATTATTTATATATCTATATTATATCTACGATCGACATTTTATATTTTATAATATATATATATTTGAAAATAGTTGCTAGTCTACTAATTGCTAGGTATTTACTATGTGTACATATTATGCCATAAAGATTAAACTGGTAGAGGCCTTATCTGTTTATTAGGTGGGATTTTCGTAACTTAACTGTAGCTGGGTATTTTAGCAGGTTTATATATCATTAATAAGATTGTCAGTTCATTTTTGATTTACTCTTTAAATTTGATTTAAATACAAGACTCTTACTTTCATTAAAAGTCAAAATGGTTATAACTTATTATTACACCATGGATATCTCCTAATTTTTCATAAAAATGGTAAAAAAAATATATTTGACGCTGTACTGTGGTGATGTCAAGTTCGATTGGAAAAACTTATCGAGAGAATCAAGTCCATCACGTCGTAATAAGTATAATAGGATCATGTTTAAAAATTGAAAAAAAATTGTGAAAAATTGTTCTGAAATACCAACAATTTAATATTTAAAGGGCTTATCTTACAATATTCATTATAAATCGTTAATTTTAAGTTTTTAATATTTATAATAATAAAAATAATTCTACAGTATATGTTTGGCTTTTGAGGAAATGTTATTTTATACCCGATTTGTACATCTATAACATGTATTACAATTTATTAAATTCATTATATGAATAAAGGTTAGGTTTTTTATAACCAGTTTAAAAGATATATTGATCAAAGACATTTTCACAAAAAATATTTTTATCAAGATATTTTGACCAAAGATATTATTTCGAAGATATTATGACATGAAACTAAAATCACGGTTATTATAAATTAAAAATTTGTCAATTTATATTTTATATTTATTTTAATATGATATCAAAAAATTAACTAATATTGTATAAATGTGTTTTTTATAAAATAAAGATAATTAAGACTTCAAAAAAATCATCGTAAATTATGTTAAAAACTAAAAATATTATTTTATGATAATAAAGTCGTTTAAAATATACTGAATTATAAGTTTATTATAGTAAATATAATAATTGTTGTCGAAAAACTAGCAGATGATGTTGAAATGAAAGTTATTTGTTAGAATTTATAATATTTCAGTAAGTAACATTATATTTTGTTTTAGAGCTCGCAAAACCGTATTTTGATAAAAAATGGCAGGATTGTTAATGCAGACAAAATGGTTGACAGTGATGTTTATATTGAAGATGGCATTATTAAGTATGTATAATATAATTTATTATTATTGTTTAACTTCATAAAAAATCAAGTGGAATGCCATATTTTATGTCTGCTTTCTACTTAATATATTATTTTCTACATTAGGGTGTTTAGTGAACCTATAGTTTTTATCTCAATATTATGCAGGTCTAATTCTAACAAGACTTAATTATAAAATATATTATTCACAATAATAATCATTTAAAAATTGTAATCCTTTCTTTAGTTTGTTTTCAAATTTATGTTTAGACTATTTTTTAGCATATAAACGTTTGGACTATTGGATTTATAATATACATTATTATGTTTTTTTGCAGCGTCTTTTTATAATTTGGTTAATAATGTTCACGAATTGACAATTCGTGCCACATAGTGTATTTTTATTGTGTATATTTTTTCATATTTTAAATGAAATGGATATTATTGCATACCATAATTATAAACATGAAAAATGATGTATTTTCGACTTATAATCCTATTTCATTAAAAACAATGTAGCTAAAAAACTAGATGTTGCGTTATAATTACTATACGCTAATACAATATATTTAATTTCTTAAAATCAGCAATTTTGTCTTTGACGAAAAAAAAAATAAAGCATAAATTTATTTATAAGTAAGACTAACATGCAATAAGAACTTTTTAGCCTAGGTAATTGAAACGTAACTTAATTAATTCTTTTTAATGCTATTCCACTTATTAATATAGTTTGTGAATTATTGGTAAATTTATTGTATATTTTATTATATTTTTATCATATATTTCAGAAAATTCTAATAGAATGAAATATATATTTTGCTATTTATAATGTGTGTATATCCAAGCCCTAGTATATTCTAGTAATAATAATTATACTTTAATTTGATAGAACCCTTCCCCTGTTATCAGTCTGTTTCTGCATTGACCTATTCAATATTTAAAGGATATCCGCTATTTTTTAAATTGGATATAATTTTACTACTAACCCAAATAATAGCATATGTATGTAATTACTGTAAAATTACATTCTGTTTAATTTTGGACTTGGACTCACCTTTTAAATCAGTAAAAATCATTAAATATTTAATTTTTAAAGTGGTTTTTGATAAAAAATTGGATGTAGTTTAAATTCTAGGAGATAGTGTTAAGGTCAAGTAAAAATTCCCGACACTTTCCCAAATAATCAGGAAAAATTAATTTATAATAACCGAAGAGCGAGAATACTTCACAAAACCAGTTTTTGATTAAGTAGACATTGTTTATTTGTTGTAATTTAAAAATAAAATATGTTAGTTACTTACTGTACCTATATAGTACCTACTCTGCAGTAGACTTGAATTTTTCACTAAATATTGAAGTATTTATATTCGTTTTTTCTGATTATGATTTAGTTTTAAAAATATTTTTTTTATTTTCGAGCTTTAATGAAGTTTTTTTCAATTTATTATTTGTAAGTAAAAATCAAGAATATTTAATATGTTCCTCATAAGTTGTTTTTACTTTTTACAGAAATTTAAATATACCAAAATTATACGGTTATAATATTTTTTTTTTTTAAATTATGATTAAATTTATCGAAATCGAGAATATTTTCAAGTAATTTTTAGTCAAAAATGCATAACATATTTAACTTAAATACCTTATTTAATTCAAGATTATTTTTATATTGCTATTACTAGAACAAAAAATATAACGATATTTTCTTTCATACTTTTGAATTGAATTTTTTAAATGATTAAAATGACCCAAAAAATAAAAATCTGAAACAATTATTTATTTGACTGAATATGCTAGTTTAATGAATGATAATCCCTTGTTTATTATTAGCTATAATTTACAACTGTATTATTATTTTTGTATTTTACTCATCTATTTAACATTTAATTGTATAAAAAAAATTAATGAATAAAATGTAGATATAAAACAACTAATAAAATAATCAAAATATTTTAACGATTAATAATAAAAATAAAAAAAAACTTACTTTGACCAAAATAGATGTGTTAAATCTAATTGACAAATCGAAAAAAATATTTTTGTGTTTTGAAGAAAGCGTGTATTGCATATCGCGGTCATCTTGTATAAGCGACTATGTAGATTGGTTTTACTGACACAAAAATCGCATCAGTGAACACAAAATAAAAATAGTACGGTTGTAAAACACTGCGTTTTAAATGTTTACACTTGAAATGATATAAGATAAACAGCTATATGTCTATATGTATAGTTTATATGAAATCTAAGAATACTAAAATATAGTCAAAATATATACGTCCTTAGTCCTTAATCCTTACAATAATTGTTTTAAAATTATTTTAAAAATGTGAGATAAATTTAATAGTTAAAAATAATTTACATTAAATTGTTTTCTCTAAGTCTTATTCCTTGTGAACTATTTTTATATGAAATTCAACTTTATATTACTTAATATTCAAAATCCTACATAAAACATACTTTACTTATAAATTATAACTATATTTGTTCATTATAGATGAACTAATTAATTATTTATTTTTTTTATTAGAATGGTTGGTTGCAATCTCATTATACCCGGAGGTACAAGAGTTATTGATGCAACATCAATGTTGGTTATGCCAGGTAAAATGTTAAAGAAATGATTTAAATTTAATTCTTATAATCTTGCTGTTAATAGCCTATATGTATGTATATAACTTTTATATATGATTTACCATCGCTTTTGGACATGGTGGTTAAGTTTGCAATTTATAAATATCAAAAAATTTTATAAGCTTTACACTAAATTATAGACGTGCGCAAACTTCAGGTATGGCTAAATTCAATCTACCCCCCCCCCATCACGCTCACACAAGAAAAAAAATTATTGAAATTTTCAATTTCAATTTCGAAGTGACCCTATTATTAGTGACTAGAAACTGTAAATAATCATTTTTAATTATTTCATATATACAATTATGCATCAATATTGATTTAAAATTTTAACCAAATATAATTTAATAAAACAATTCAAAAACAATCAAAATATAATAAATAATATTAAAAATTGTCAATTAACATTAATATTTATTTATTATTATAAATTATTCATTATGTAATTTGTATGTATATATATTGTATACAATTATTATTATGCTGTCAAATAAAAATATGTAATTATAATACTATTTATACTTATCTTTAATCGTGTAAATATCTTTGATTTTAATTTATTTTGTTATCAATTTTCTATGGCTATAACGTCTTATTACTTTCTTAAGTACCAATTATCCACTTAGGTATAAAAAAACAAAAAGCTCAGGTGAGACTAAAGCCAAATTAGCCCTACCTGTGTGCACGCCTATGCACTAAATTTATTATTTGGGAATATATTCATTATTATAAATATACGAGTAGATAATATTAAGTAAATAATTATTAATGTCTACAAAAGGTAAATAATATTATTAATTATGTATATTTAAGTGAAGATTATGCAACAAGTGTATTGTGTACTAATTTAACTATTAATATTATTCATAAATATTGTTAGCTGTACTACTATAATAATAGATAATGTGTTGAGTCTTTAATAATAAAAACAAATTATCTCATTGTTATTGATAGACATTGTGCGTTGGCAAGATATTAAGAAATCTAATATTTTTATTGATAAATAATAATTTATTATTATCATAATAAGAATATTTATGATATAAATAAATCTGGTTACTTTATAATAATTTTTTTTAACATGATAAACTAATTTTAAAATTTTTATATTTTTAAATTAACCACTAAAGCAAAAAATATAGATATTATATAGTAAACAAAATTATAAAAATAATAATAATATAGTTAAAATTAATTAATCAAATAGGTCAAATTTTAAATAAAAATAAAAAATTTTATTTGGTCATTGTTTAAACAATCTAAATTTTTCAAAACTAAATATATGTTGAATTTTGTTTAAATAATTTATAATATCTTGTATAATACTAAATTTCAAACTCTAAGTAGATTGATGATTGGAAATATTTGATCAAAAATGAAGTTGTTTATTTTTTTGTATCTAAAATTATATTTTGAAATAGTAAAATGTTTCTATCTTCGGCATTTTGGGTGGTCTCTAGTAGTAAAAAATTCTTAAAATTTAATTTAAGGTTATTTAAAAAAATTTTCTTGCAGAATTTGTAAATCACCAAAAATTTATAGTTACAATTTTTTATAAGTGTACATAAAAGAAACTGATAAAATTCATGAAATTATTAATTTTAATGGGTTCTTGGCTGGAATTAAAATATAAGACTCCATAAATAACTTTATGAACTATTTTGTCTTATTTCAAAATATATTAACTGTAGGAACTTGAAACTTTTAAAATTTGTATTCTTAATTTTGTACACAATGAAGTTTTTAAAATATTTTAACTAATTTTAAGATATTTATCCCATAAACCTATTCAAATCAAGTTAAGGAGAATAATATTATAATAATTATTGTACAATAAACTTGATGTTTATGGCCAAAATTAATTCAATCTACTGTTTTACTTATAATAATATAAATATATTTCTAAAATATCCTTAGAAATGAAAACTAACTTTGAATCTAACCATGTTAATCATTGTTTCTTGTATGCAATGATTTTATTTTAAATTTAATTTTAACATATTTATTAAAGTGATTTACTTAATAATGAGGTACATAATGTGCTAAGTGCACTAATACTACTATGTAGATTAATGATTCTCATTTTTTTAAATGTAATTTACTAATCATTAGTTTTTAATTTTAAACAAAATATAATTACAGTACCAATTATCATTTAGCTAATTTTTCAATAATACTGGTGGGATATGCTTTGCACGTTTATAGATAATATTTTTTATGATATTAATTCTGCTTTTAGCTTCAAATTAAATGTTTTACATTACCAATGACAAAGAATTATCTTATTACAGCAATGTTTATATACTGTGTAAATTTTTTTGACGTCATCACCATCTATCGGAACGCCAAGCACAACTTCTCTGCTGGGTAAAATACAATATCGAGACGTGCATTAATTGTTTGAAATGATATCCAGACAAGTTGAGGTATAAGATTAGTTTAAAATGAACATGAATAAATTAACAGATCTATTAAGTGGCAGGATGAAACATATATTTTATTCTAAAATCATAATTTTGTCGTATTTTAAATAGAAATACAACGTATAAAAGTAATAAGTGGTTATTATAAATGCATAATATTTGTTATGCATAGAATATTAACTAAATATTTCTTAAAAACCCGTTTTATACGTATATGCAATAAATATAATGCAATACATCTTATAAGTTTTAAGTTAATTATTTTAATATTGATTATCAGTTAAATAAGAGTTGGTCATTTTTAATAGGTAATTTTTTAAATATCAAAACATTCTTTTTTAAAAAAAAAAAATTAGATAACTTTTGTTATTTAGTATTACTTTAAAATGATTTTTAGGTACAAATGTTACAAGCATTTCATACTTTGGAAAGTTTATCTTTAAAAACAATAACTATATCAAATTAAATGTAAAGAAATGATCTATTATAAAAATGTTAACATTATTAATTTATTTTAAGGATGTATTAAAATAAACGCTTGATAAAAAAATCAAACTTTTGAACATTTTATAATTTAGTTTTTATATTTTAAATAATTTAATTACAAAATATGTATAATCCTTTAATTAAAATAAATAAAATAAAATATCATTGGACAACATTATAATTTAAAAACAATAAACAACTTTATAATTAACAATACTTTTTGATATTACTATTAGTTTTCAAAATACTTTGCCAAAACATATGTATTTAAGTTTTTCATTAAAATTTTTTGATTTGCTGCATTTTAATTTTAATGCAATGTTATAGTCTTATTTATAATTATTATTAAAGATATAGTCTTACTTTTGTCATAACTCACTACATACTAATATAAAAAAGGAATTGTAAGTCGTCTAATAATCATCTTTTGTATATAAATAGTAGATTATGTAGGAAAATACCATATTTTTATCCATAAATTCTAAGTGTACATTATACATTTTAAGTAAATGCTAAAATGTATTTCGGTTTTATTTTTTTTCAAGGTAGTATTTTTAAAACAAAAACATTTATATCATGTGTAAAATTATAGGTGGTATAGATCCTCATACACATTTGGAATTAGAATTCATGGGAGCAGTGTCAGTAGATGATTTTTATCAAGGAACTAAAGCTGCAATAGCTGGTGGAACAACAATGATAAGTATGGAATATTTTAATTTATGTAAAATAAAGTTATTTAAATAACCATTATGTTTATTGTAGTTGATTTTGTGTTACCGAGTAAGGGTGAGTCTTTATTAGATGCTTATCATAAGTGGAGAACACGAGCCACAAATAAAGTTTGCTGTGACTATGCTCTACATATAGGTATTACTTCATGGTCAGATCAGGTAAATTTTAATCAGAATTTTAAAAATAAAAATAAATTACATGTTTTAATTTTTTTTTTGTTTATTTGTACTATTATTTATTGTTATATAATTAATTTTATTAGCTATTATTAAACATCAATTATAATATTCAGGTAAAAAGAGAAATGGAAGAACTTTGTAAATTGCATGGAATTAATTCCTTTAAGATGTTTATGGCATATAAAGGAGTTTTTATGGTTACTGATTCTGAATTATATAACAGTTTTGAAGCATGCAAAGAGCTTGGTGCAATTCCAATGGTACATGCTGAAAATGGAGATATAGTATTTGAAGTAAGCAGCATATACAGTTTTTAATTTATAGTAAGTTCTAAACTCATTTCTATTTAAGAATACAAAACGGTTGTTAAAATCTGGTATTAATGGACCTGATGGACACGCATTGTCTCGACCTGAAGAAGTTGAAGCAGAAGCTGTTAATAGAGCTTGTACATTATCAAATCAGGTATAATTATTCTCAGATAAAAAATAATTACGCGGTATCTAAATGCTCAAGTGACCATGTGAATAATAAGGAACTTTGATCAAAATCACAGTAAAATATTCAAAAACTTAGTTCTTGGCATCTCAATGAGATTTAGAAACGAAAAAATTGTTAAAATTAAGATTTATTTACTTATTTAGTTATTGGATGATATAATAATTAAAATTATTTATAATTTCATTCAGATTATTTGCTTTATAAATTTTATGGGACCGAACAGCCATCTTAAAAAAACTATAGTTATGTTTCCTCTGGTTATAGTAAATAAAAATATATTAATATTTATTTCAAGTTTCAAATAATATAATACTATTAAGTCATGTAAAATTAGTCAGTTAATAATCTTAGATTCAAATTACCAGTTCATTTTCAATTATTTTCTCTTGAGATCTAACTTGATTCCCTAATAACTATAGATAACTTTTATTATTTTTTTCTTTTGTAAAAAATTAATTATTTTTTCAATTTTAATAAAATATTTGTAAAATTTAGTACAATTTTGAAAAACTTAATAATTGTTAATTTTGTGACCTAGTTGCCAAGTTGTCAAGAACTATTTAGTACCAATTTACTAAGTTGTAAAGATTTTACTAATCAATGCTACACGAATTAATACAAATATTTTTTTGCCTTAATATGTATTAGTTTTGATTCATTTTAATCATATATGTATTTTTAGGTTGGATCACCATTGTATGTTGTTCATGTAATGAGTAAGGCAGCTGCTGAAGTTTTAGCGAAGCATCGTACTGAACAAATCAAACAAAATGGGAATACTAAAATTTTTGGTGAGACATTAGCAGCTGCAGTTGGAACACATTGGGATGAAAATAAATTAACATGTTGGCATGATGCTGCAGCACATGTCTTAAGTCCACCATTAAGATCTGATCCTAATACTCCAAATTTTTTACTAAACATGTTAGCCAGGTAATTTTACCTTAACGAAATTTAGTTGTACAAACATATTTTGTTTTTGTTTTTTATCATACTTTAGGTTAAAAGTGAAAATATTTTAATATTCTAGTGATAAGTTACAAACTACTGGAAGTGATAATGCAACATTTAACAAAGATCAAAAATCTTTGGGTAAAGATGATTTTACAAAAATACCTAATGGCGTTAATGGAGTTGAAGATCGTATGTCTGTTATTTGGGAAAAGGGTGTGGTTTCAGAACTTTTTGACCCATGTCGTTTTGTTGCAATTACAAGTACAAATGCAGCCAAAATTTTCAATATCTATCCTAGAAAAGTAAGTTGTATTTATTATATGTTATTTATTCATATATTTAGTACTGAGAATAAAATAAATTATTTTAAGTTATTATTATTAGTCTTAACTTAATTAAAAAAGAACAAATCTATCCTGTTTTTTGATTATATACTCTATCAGTGGTTAGGTTAAGTGGTAAGTTATATCAGTGGGAGAATTTAGATATTGCCGATAAAATATAGTGTTGATGAATTAACGAGAATTTGGTTGTTAAAATAATCATCTAATTTTATAATTAGTAAAATTGAAAATAAATTAATTTTTGGACAATCGTCCATCGATAGCAATCATTTGAGTGTTTTATAATGATTGGCCTCTTTGGGAGTAATCTAACATTGATAAGATGTAAAGCTTTCTGCTAGTCTTCTATATTGTGTAATTAAATCGAAATATAAACCAAATAATGCATTGAAATGTTGCTGTGTAGATGCGGCTTTACGTTTACATATCAGTTGAGCTGCTCTCTTATTACTTTTGATTTATAGTTTATCCTTAAAAGAAATAAGTTATTAGTTGTATAGTTAGTTATTTTATATACTAAAATAAAAAAAAATTCTTTCTAAACTCTAATTTAAGGGGAGGTGATGATTTTTAAAAATGTACAATGGGAGTATAGAATAATTAAAGTTGGAAACCTTAATTCTTTACTTATTGAATATTAGTTCACTTATTTATTATTACATATGTTGAATTTGACAGCTAAAAGGTGGGTAAGTAGGTATGGCTTTGCTATACATTAGGTGTCAAGTGGGTCACTATTATGGATATATTTAATTTGAATTAAAATAATTTATCAGGTATATAAAAAAACGATTCTGAACAGAAAAGTTCTGTCTACAAACATTACTAAGTATATTTCATATGTTTTAAGAAAGTAATTAAAGTAATTAATTTTATTTTAATTATTACAGTAAATTTATTTAATTGTTGCCAAAAATATTAAATTTATTATATTACTAATACTTATTTAATTATTATTATAATTATGTATATATACATATATACTTATATATTATATTATTATTGTTTACTTTTAAGTCAATACCCCTCAATACAAAACAATGCAAAAAAGTTAATGGTATAAAAATAGGTAGATAATATGTTAAAATTAATCTAAATATAATAATAAAAATTAATTATATACATAAAAATTTTAAAGTAACTATGGTTACAAAACAATTATTTTCATAATAATATTAATTTTTTTTAATTTTTTTTTTTCGATTATAAAAAAGTATTGAGCATTTTGAGATTTGACCTCTTTAAAGTCACTATTACTTATTTTGTATACACTCTTCAAATAAAAAAAACACATCTTTGTTAAATTAATACATTCATTGTTCTGCTAAAAATCTAAAATTAAAAATTCAGAAAAAGTATTTCAAATTTTTTAATTTAATTAACTGAGTTAAAATATTATAAGTTAATTAAGATTTAACTTATTATACGTCTTAATCCCAATAAAATTATATTAAATTGTAAATTTTTTTCTATTATATTTTACTAAGATATGAATAGAATATATATTATTATAATTTATAACATATTAATTAGTTTCATAGGTACATTAATATTATTTAATTTAAGTTAAAAAATTAATTAATTTAGTATTGTGTATCAATGTAAAATTATAATACGTATATTTTTTTTTAATTGCTAAAATTATTATTTGTTGTTAAATTTGTATTACTTTTTAGGGTTGTATAGATGTTGGGTCAGATGCTGACATAGTCGTGTGGAATCCAAAAGGAAAGCGCATTATCTCTGCAAAAACTCACCATCAAGCTGTTGATTATAATATTTTTGAAGTAAATATATTGTCATTTGTCACTAATATAAACTTATACCAATTTAAAAACATAAATAAAAATAGACAATCATATGTATTTTTACTAATAATTTTTTATTTAGGGAATGGAATGTCATGGTATTCCTGAGTATGTATTAGTTGGTGGCCGTGTTTGTGTTGATGAAGGACAATTAAAAGTTGTTCAAGGTCATGGAAAATTTATCCCGACACCTACACATTCAGAATTTGTGTACAACAATGAAAAAGTATAGACTTTTATTCTTAATTTATATTTAATTAAATTATTCAGATAATTGTTACATTAAATAATTCAATTTTTTCTTTCAATTCTATATTATATAACTATCAGCATATTAAGTTCATTATTTATTCATGTATCAGTTTTTTAATTAAAAATGTATACTTAAAAATATAATTTTTGTTATTTTTACCTTAATAATATCTTCAAATGGCAAACATATATTTTAAGAAAACTTTATAAAGTTATTAACTAACTGGATGAAAAAAATCTGAATTTGAATTTTGAAAATTGGAATTTGATTATTTTAATATTTATTGCAATTGACAAATCGTTAAATTATATAAGAATAAATTACTTTATCATTATTTATTTAATTTTGTAGGGGGCTGTACTTAACTGTATAGTATTATAATTTATAAATAAATTTCTATAAGCTATTATTATTTATTTAATGTTAAGGTATCTGAAATAGAAGTTACTGACGAAATCAAAGAAATCAAGGAACTGAAATTGCAAATTTCTCCACCATCAAGTGTCACAAGTGATGTATCTATATGTTCTAAATCTCCTATGATTCATACAGGAAAAGGAATGCGTATGGAAGGTCAGCGAGATCTTCAAAGCTCCTCGTTTTCAATCAGTTGTAAGTAAAATTACCAATAAAAAATTTATTTATATTTCTTAATTATCAAGTGAATAATGAACATAATATTAATTTTAGCTGAGTTTAATGATACTGTTAAGAAGTCTAGTATTCGTGTAAGAAATCCTCCTGGTGGACAATCTTTGGGTTTTTGGTAATATACTTATAAGTTAAAATATTAAATTATATTCTACTACTAGTCCAACATTTAGAAAATTTTATTAAACATTATATTGTCTTTAAGATTAATCACTTAATTTTATTAAAACTGCTTAAATTACAATTCACAATATTATTCTGTACATTAATTTAAAAGTCATTTTTATTTTATCACAATTTTTAGTTTACTTGTATATTATTATTTATAACGACTTATTTATAAACTGCATAAAAAATTTTTTTAACCATTGATATGCAATTAATAATAATTTATAACAATTCATATAAGTTTAAAATTGATTGTTACTTTAAGTATGAATTTCAAATTATTAATAATATTATGTTGTGTTTTGCTTGTTATCAGTATATGCATTTTATATGACTTAATACATTTATTATTAATTATATTCAAACGGTTTAGAACTAACATTTGTTTTTATTTTTTATTATATTATCTTCAAGTTACTAGTAAAACATCATGTATAACAAAATTAAACATATTTTCAGACATTTCATAACAAATTGTTGAATATTTTTTATTCAAACTGCCGAATATATACCTAATAAGAATTATTTTGAGATTAAGGTTGTTGTTATAAATTATGTAAGGCCCGATCAGTATGAGTACAAAATGGCCAAAAAACAAAATTTTAAAATTTTAATATGATGTCTACTAACTTAAATATTAACGCATCACTCAATAAATAGTAAAATAATTGCTGACCATTGAATAGAAATTGGTAAGTAATAAAACAATTGATATCATAATATTTGATACTTGGATTTAAATAAAAAATATTCAAAAAAAAATTATCAAATAAATTAGATTTATAATAAATAAATTATTATGTTTGTTCAAGTTTATTCTGACTGATAAATATATACATACACATTATACCTACCATAAGTATGCATGTAAAATATTATTTAGTTGTTTTCTACATTAGTTCATCAAAATCAATATCAACCGCTTTGATTATGTTGTCGTTTTTTTACTTCAGATAACGCTTTAGTTTTTAAATATATAACACTCTTGGATTTTGGTAAAATTTTTTTATTCTTTATATTTTTTTGAAAAGATTATAGAACCCCAATGAACGCGTGTAGGATCCTAAGAGTTCATAATTTAAATTAAGTATGAATTCTATTAAAAGTTATTTTAAATAAAGTAAAAAAAAAAATTGTTTTAAAAAGTTTATTAATTAGTACAATAATAAACATAACTAAAAAGATAATTTTTGTTCATGTTAAAATTATTAAAACTTTTAATTGTTCAAGTATTGGATTATTGATATTAATTTGTTACACAATATTTTTATTTTGTTCTTACTTAAATATTTTTTTCAAGGATTTTAATTGATTTAATATATAAATTAAAAATGTTTATACCTATGTATACATATGTGAATTTTGTTAGTTTCCTATGTATTTTTAACACATTGATATTAAATACATTTTTAGTGTTAGTTCCATTATCAATTTTAAAAATTAGAGTTGAAGCTTTGCAAAATACTTTTTATTTTCTATTGATACACAACATTAATTCATTTTACATGTATTTTAGGAGTACCTTGAATTATAACTTTAAATAATTTTTACTATTCTATATTTTATTTTTTAATAGGTTTAAAATTAATTAATAAGTAGCTCCCTCATACAGAAATACTATGATTAATTATATTGCAGCATAAATATAAATATTAATTAACACATTATATCCAAAATAAAAAATACGTAATTTTATATATTATATTTATGATGCTTAACATAAATAATGAGAATACATTCATAATCTTTATTAACTTCCTAAATGATTGTCAATCGAGAAGTAACCATAGTAAGTAATTAGACTATTAATAATGTTTGTATACCACCGATTCACTGTAATAAGTTACAAAAAACAAAAAAAGGTATTTCAACACTGATTGTATTTTTTTCTCACAGTTTTAAAAATTCTTTGATTAACTTGAAAACAAAATATTAAATTATTTTATTATCATAAATATTTCTTGCCACAAACAAGGCATTGACATTGACATGAACTTAAATAATAAATAAATTATGGTAAATATTGCTTATTCGTATTTTAATTTTTTATATTTAAATGTTCAATATGAAATTACACTTTATTTAGAGCTGCATTTAGCTAATAATATTATATAACATTTTACAAAAACTTATAGAAGTACAAATATAATTTCATTATTTTTTTTTTTGTATTACAAAAAAAATAAAATAAAAATAAATTGGTCTTTTATATTAATACTAATTTTTATATTCAATTAAATTTATTTAAATTGTTGAGGTTGAGGTCCAAATAAGCCACCACTTTGTTTGTTAGCCATTCTTGATGGAGCAAATCCTAATAATTTTTGAATATTCTATAATACAAAAAAAAAAAAAAAATATATATTAAATTTTGTTTATTATAAATACATAATTATAAAACAACTAAATAGATGACTTTCTTCCTTTCTACAACTAACATAAATTCTAGGCATTGACGTAATGATTAGATAGCCCACGAAACAAGATGGTAATAGTAAATCAAGTAAATTTAAATAAAACCTCGTTGATACTCGAAATAAAGATTGCCTGATGTGGTCAGAAAAGATCCAAGGAGTTATAACTGGATTGAAATAAAAACTAGCTTATGCACAAGAAGTATGATTTGAATTGGCTTATAGGAAAAAAGCTCAAATGACTTGTAAAAGTTAAAAAAAAGATAGCTGATTCATTAATTACACAACCAACTCTGATGCAGAGTTGTAATTTATCATACTTGTAATGTTTACACAAAATACTATAATAATAATTCTTTTATTTTGATGATAAAATCTGAAATTAGATTAAGATGTTTAATTTGAACTGCCGCTAATTTTTGCTATAACTCTTCTTGTAATAAGCTGTATATTATTGAATCATCTATCTAGTTACTTTAATTGTCTATGATTAAATTTTACATGGTTTTAACAATATTTTCAATCTTACTTGACGTATTGACATAGTACACAATATATACAAGAAAATAAAAGAACATTCTGTATAATTATCGCCTGGTAAATTTCTATGTGATAATCCTTGAACCCAGGGAATAGGTGTAAAAGGTAATCTTGCTACAACACGTCCGTCAAATCTATGAAAATGAAATATTTTTAATAATTTTTATGTGTTTAAAAAATGTACAAATAAGACTCACATGCTATTGAACATGCTTAATAGTGCTGTAAACGCAAAACCAATGGCAAACATGGACTTCATTTTAACCATTGATAAATCACGATTGTTAATTTTAAGTTTTTCTTCAACACGTTCAATTTTTTTTTTTTGCTGTTTGTCGACAGAGTCTCCATGGGCTTCTTTACGTTTTTCAAGTAAAATAATATGTCAATGTATTTAAAATTAATCATTAAAATATGAATTGTTTTTTTAAAACTTATTAAAAACTTACGTTTTTTACTAGACTTTTCAATTTCCACTTTCAGCTTTTGATATTTTTCTGTTCGATATACTAATAACCATGTTAAGCCTGCAAAAATGTTTTTAATAAAATTAAATAGTTTTGAGTACAGAAATACTAATAATTTTAACTTAAATTAAAGAAAATTAAAAATTTTTATGTAATGAATTCAAATTTATAATTATCATACTGTGTGAAAATATATTTATAAAAGTAAATATCATAATGAGTAAAATAATATTACTTGAAAAATTATACTTGTTCATATACATACAAAGTAATAAATTAATGTAAAACACTAAAATTTTTTAAAATATATATTTTAAATATTTTTAAGTAATAAGCATAACAAAACAACATTTAAAAAAATATTATATTTTTAACTATTTTTTATTGTTAATATTTATTAATTTTTTTAAATTTTAAATGACAGCAAACATTTTAAATGTTATATTCCATAACAAAAAGTTTTTTTGTTATATTTAAATATACCAAAATCAAATTCCAGACAAGTAGTGTATTAGTTATAATTTTATAAGTACAGTAGAACCCCTCTCATCCGCCCTCGGCTGGTCCGCCGCTCCGGTTGATCCGACCATAGTATAATCGATATGAATACTATGTAATTTAAAAATACAATTTGGATTTTCTACTTTATAGAATATATTATATAAAATTAATTGCTAGTTTAATATTTCCCTTATCGCTTGTCCTCCTTAGTACTCCAACCTCTCTTTTTTCTAAGTAATGTAAAATATAATAAATTTCTGATATAATCTTGTATATAATATGTAAATAAAAAAATGTTCTGTATATTCTGATAATCCAATCTTTTTCGCGTTCTGACCACACCTTCAGTCCTGAAGGTGACGGATTAAAGGTTCTACTGTATTTAAAGTTTAAATGAGCAGATTAGTTTGCTAGTTTATGGAATGTGCTTGTATCACTTCATCTCACTTATCTAAGCTTTAAATAACTGCTCATCTAAAATTTTTATTTATAAAGATACTCAAAAAAATATTCTGCTTTGGAATAGATTTAAAATTGCATGTCATTTAGTAAAATATAAAATAACTGATGAAAAATACATTTTTGTTTTTGGAAAATAACACTTTTAATTAATTAAAATTATATTCAAAATTGTCAATAATTTTTTGATGAAATAATGAGTGTTTTACATTAAATGAATCACCCAATATAATAAGTACATACTATATAGGATACAAACAATAATTTATTAAACAGGCTTACTTAAATATTTTACGATATTACTCCATAATAATATAGTAACATAGTTAATATATTTTGTAATATAAATTTGAGTTATAAGATTTTCAGTTATTTTTTAAACTTGTTTTCTGTAATTAACATTTAAAATTACATTTATAACAATTTTATTATTTTACATAAATTAATTGTTATAAGTTTATAACTAATGTTATAATATCATTTGATTTTCATAAATACAGTACTAAACATGTATAACCAAATAAAACTTACAAAACAATTAATACATGACATTGTCAATGCAGGTAGTAAACAACTAATCATTAACACTACACATATTTTATTTAATAAAGTTAGTTTAATTAATGATGAAGGAATAAACCATAAAAGTTAACTCTTCTTCTGGGTTAGATAAAATTGCAGGAAAAAAAAAGTCAAAATAAATATAAAATGACATATTCATTAATCAAACCATTGTAACATATTTTTAATTTAGTTATTACATTATTTACTATTCTAGAAAATTTTAAGATTTTAGTAATAACTAATAACACATGTACTCCAATAAAGTGACAAATCCAACATTGAAAATTATTACCTAATTTTACAAATATTTTATATTATTTGAGCTCTTGAAAAAATTGTTTAAAAAGAACTAGTTAATTACCTTGAAAATAATAATCTACAAATATATACTAAACTCAGTTTCAGAATTGATAAAATCACTGAACAAGCAATTTCTACCGTATTAAATATTTAGATCTAGCAAAAGAATTTGATTCTATAGATAATAAAATATTATTACAAAATGCAGTAAATTTGGTATTATGAGGAACGGCTTACAAATTATTAAGTTCATATTTAAAAAAATAAAAAAACATGTTTGAATAAAGAACTAAATGAAGAAAATCAAATATCGCCCACTTTATTTATTATACGTATCAGACAAAAACTGATTTTAATATACATGATAAACTAGTTTGCTATACAGACAAAATAGTATTTTTTATTGAAAGATAGTCATTTAAGATGAGATATATGCTGATGAGTATATAAACTTGACAAATATTCAAAAATAGTAATGAAAAAATAACTAGTATCTTAACTTAGAAAAAATATTTTACCACATTATATAGTTAATTCTAACCAACCAAATAAATCTACTTATACATTAAAATAATTGTTTATATCAAAACCTATGTACATGTCAAACATTCGGAAAAATAGTTAAAAACTGAATTGTTTATGTAAAGAAATGTGTCTTAATCTTAAATGGAATAACTATATTATAAAACTTGTCACAAATAATTTAAGGAAAATAATATAAGCTTTCAAAAATCTAACAGATATCTTAAAATTTAAGAATATTAGTTGTGTATCAAGCATTAATATAATCTATAATTAATCACAATATTTCTCTATTTGGAGACTGGATGTATACACAAAATAACTCTAGACCCATTAAAATGAATTACTAAAAACGATTTTAAAGAGACTCCAAAATATCACACAAGACTTAGAAAAACATATGAATATACTACCGGCAAGAAAATTATTTTACAAAGTTTTAGTACTTATTACATTTGAAAATAATCTTTCTTTTAAAACTGAACATAGCATAATACTAGACAAATATCTATCATCAAAATACTAATCATACACAAAACATAACACAAACCACTTACTTATACATTGATTTAACAATTTACAACACACTACTATTAGAATTTAAACAAAACTATTTATTCAAAATTCTAAGAAAAAATTGCACTTTACCTAATACAAGAACAAAATATAACAAATTTACAGCATTACTAAATTACAATAATAGATGATGATTTGAATAATTATTAATGGTTATATTGCTTTATATTGTATTATTTACTGAGCAATTAAAATAAATAAAATACATATATTTAATGTTATTAATGTTTTAGTTATAAAGAAAAAAATGTATTTTAATTGTTATTTTATTAATTTATCTATCTATTTATTCTTTTTTTTTTTAATGTTAACTCATAGGCCCATTATCTTTTTAAAGATAAAATAAAAAAAAATTATAGAAGTTTATTATTTAAAGTTTTTGAAATTAAAAAATAATAAATTTAATGCAAGTATAATTAAATTACTTTTGTATTACTTGATTTAATTTTTAATATTAAAAATTAAAATTCATGACAAAATGTACATAGAATTCTTAAATTCAGAAATATAGAAATAATTTTCAAAATAATGCAAGTGGTGAGGTAACAAGATATGTTAGCATATGTACAATTGCATATAAATATTATACTAAAATTATACATTAATAAGTAATATAAATAAAAAATAATTAACTATTACGTAGTGAAGAGTAATTAATGACAGTTAAATTGAAATGGAAAAAACCTTTTTATTGTTATTTGTAGTACTCAATTGTATTGATTATTTAATGTAAAATTAACTATTGCATGTTGATAAGATGATAGTATAAATTAGGAAATATCCATAATGGCTTTAATAAAATCATCATTGAAACTAATAATTACATAAATTATAATAATTTTATCACAAATAACATAGTTTAAGTACTTACAGGCATGGAAAATAGATTTAAATATTTAACTACTTAATTTTTTTTTTGCTGTTAAAACTAATTGTAATAATAAAAAAAAAACTATTTAATAATTATTTTAGGTATGTGGATACAATAATTATATAAAATTAATATTTTAGAATTAGAAATATTTATACCATTATAGACAGTAACAATAGTTGGTGTAATTAAGTAGATAATTCATAGATAAATATAATGTACATTTACAGATATATTATTTGCCTAAATAATAATAAAATTGTAAATTATTAATTCTATTCATAGCACAATACTCAAGTATTTATGAAAATTTCATTATTTATTTAGTTGTATATATATACATTGCATACACCTATGTATTTTTTTACAAACCGTTTATGCATTTTTAATAACTAGGGCTCAGATGTTTATGAAGTTGCATATTTTTTTCTATTTATCCAATTTAATGCTAACCTGGATACAAATTTAATTCATGTCATACTGATTCAAGTAATACTATTTTTATTTTTCATATTTTTGCATATATTATGGTTTAGTATTTTAATTGCATATTTTGGGATTTTAAAAATAAAAAAGCATATTTCAGTACATTAAAAAAAAAAAAAAAAAACAATTTAATTAATGAACTATACAATTAATTACACAATTTGTATGTATAAATTTTATAGGACAAAGTATTGACGTAAAGTATAAATATTTATTATTGACTTATCGTATTTGTTCGGAATTACAATACTTTATTTTACAAGGTCTAAGGTAACATCAGTTGATGTAGAACGAAGCTTTTCACATTACAAAAATTTACTTAACGATAATAGACACAGTTACAAATTTGAACAAATTAAAAAAACTATAGAAGCACAGTATAACGCTAATAGTGATAATAACTAATTTATAAATAATAATGTAAAATAAAATAAATAAAATACTATGTAAATTTAAAAAATATATTTAAAATTGTATTCAAATAAATAATAAAAATTTTTGTGCAAATTTTGATTACATATTTCGTAATTTTTTAGTGCATAAATGCATGCATATTACACTAGTTTTAAGTGCATAAACATCCAAGCCCTATTAATAACAATGAATTTCAATTTTTCTTCTACATGCAATCTTTACTATTTGTTTTGAATATCAGTTGTTTTGTTAAGAATTCAGGTCAGTCCAGTATAAATAAAACAAAAATAACCGTTTTATATTCTGTTCAATAAGAGAACATGCTATGGCACAATAAAATCATTTTTATTTTTCTAATGTTTTGCTTTAGTGGAGCCAGTTTTGAAAATAAGATCTTAAATAAGTATACATAGAAAAGGCATGTGCTCTTATTGATCAGAGTATAGCTTAAAATATTTTAATTTAATTTTTATTCTAAAAGTTTGCAATGAAAATTTAACACAAGTTGTTGCTTAACCATAGATCCTCTACAATAAATAAATAAGGTATTATGGATTATAGTCATTACAATTGATATTATACATCTAACAACTACTTTTTTTTCAGCTTAAACAAATAATTAAATAATAATTATTTAATTTTATTTAAACACTAAAACATCTAAATGCAACGCAGGTACATAGACATTATTCTTAGCAGACTACATAAATAAAATATTAAAAATCAAGCAGATGATAAAAAACACAAGTAAAGTAAATCTTAGACTAGTGATATTCATAACACTTATTGCTTAATTGTTAAGTTATTTTTATAAAAAAACATTAATAATTATTAAGCTCTACAGTTTTCCTGATACAATTTACTTTATTAATTCCCAAAATTGAAAAAAGTAGTGAGAGACATCATGAGCATGTTTGCTGGTACAGTATATTTGATCTCATTAACACATACACAGCAACCATTAATTTATAAGTCTGTCACAAAATAAACCACACCTACCCAATTAAAAAGAACACAATAATGTCATATTTATCTGTCCCACTCATTTGTATCCAGTTTAAATTTAAAATAAAACACAAACGCTATAATTTATATACCTACAATTAATAAAAGCTAAATTTACCTTCTCCTAATAGAGCCGTACAAATTGAGATAAATACAATGAGAAATGTATCGGACCACATTGTTCAGCGCTCTAATGCATTGAATGTTGAATAGGTGGTAGGTATTTTCGCGTTAAATGTTGTTTTATCGACGGCGTATAGTTAATAATCAATACGAGAATTATTTGAGCACAGTTTCAGGCGTATGTACTACAGAGTACAAAACGATTAGAGGCGTTCCTAAATGATTTTCTCAATGAGAAATAAAAATATTAACTTGAATTTTTTAAATTGTAATCATTATCGTGGTGATTTTTTGATTACTCGTTATCACGGCAGTCGTATTGGTGCGTTGTAGAATATCGATTAAACACGTCTTCTATCGTCAGTCGAAACTATTCATGCCATGAAATGTTTTACTAGCCGGTAGAAACATCATAATTCCAATAATTTGCGTCCGTTAAAAAATCAAGTAACGCTCGGTTCTTACGAACGCATTTAGCCGATCCGAAACCCAAATAATAAAATTATTGAAAATCTGAATATTTTATATTTTATTAATTACGTTTTTGTAATCAACATCCGAATTTCATGGAGTAAACGGTTTGTTTAGCCGAATAGCAAAAGGGACGAACGAGGTTATAAAAGATACTGTCCGATTTTGACCACCTGGTTTGTAGGAGTAATGCTGTTTCGGACATTTGGCTGTTCGCACTGTTCGCAGTTTCGTACAATTGGATGATGGATCAAATTTTTGTAAACTTTTTTTAATCCTGTTTTCATTTTTACAAGTTTCGTTGAAATTGTTCGCACAAAACTTCAAAATTTCTTGATATTGTTTTTGTCTGTATTATTTTTGCCTTTACCACAGATGTGTTCACAAATTATTCACGATATCTTCAATGTTACGCCCCATTCGTAATCGTTTGGAAATCATGTTTTAATGTTGCTTATCATTTTTCTTTCATTATCACCTCGCTCCGATTCATTTTGCCGTCGTCCATCCGGTCCGGCGATTCGTGTTTCGTAAATAATAAAACATTTTTTTTTACTCAAATGTGTGATTTCTAAGAGTTTATATTAATATAAATACAAACACCAAAACTCTTACCATGTATTCCGTTTGGCGACGATATCAATATGCTTTTAGAAATACAGTAAGTATATAAGATTTATGATGAATTGGGCAACGAAATAAAAGTCTTGTCTTATGAGTATTGGAAAATAAATTACTGTAAATGTGGTTTTCTATGAAAATTATTATATTTTATCGTTTATATTTCTTAATATAATCACTAAACAAAATTAATTTGTTTTTATGAAATGGTACTATGATATTGTACATATTGTAGTTATTGATTTAAACTTGGTTTTTTATTAAACTCAAGTTAAAACGTTACCTAAGCGGCATATTGTTTAAAAAAAATATTCATGGACAAATTCTTCTTTTAAATATCGTTCTTATTTAATCAATAATTTATGTAATTATGTATTATATCTGTTTATATCATTCTTATGAGTTTCAATATTATTTATTTCATATGTTCATTTTATTTAATTAAGTTTATTGAAGTTATAAATTAAAATGTCCACTTTTGTATTTTTTTTTTTTTTTTGTTTAGAAAAAATAAATTATACTTAATTTTGTTTTTATTGATTATATACTTAAAAATATTTTATTAAACTCAATTGGTATTACAGCATTGTTTGAAGTATTATTCAATGTCACCACCACAAAAACCAAATTTTATCATGCAATTGTTAAATAATATTAAAGAAGAAATGTCTAAAAGCAAAGAGATGAAAAAAAACTTAGAACAATTTCGTGCTGAAAAAAAGAAATTGGAAGAATCTGATAATTTAATTAAAGCTAGGTAATATGATTTTAACTGTTTTATTATTATTTTGATGATTAATTTATAAACATTTTAGACAGAAATTAAACACAATTGAATCAGAAACATTCAAAGTAACTCAACAAGCCAAAACTGTTGCTAATATTGTTATGGCTTCAGTTAAGAAAAAGGTAAATGAAGCTAGTGAATCTGATTTGGCAAAAAAAGCAGGTATATTTTTAATAGATTTTATATATTTAAATGTTTATGGTGCAAGTGTTTAAATATTTATATAATTGTATATTAATTATAAATTTAGGATTATTAAGCGGAAGTATAAGCAAAACAGTATTGGAAAAAGGAACTAAAATCGGTCAGTCTGGTCCTGTCAAGACTTTTTCAAGTACTGCTGAAGCTATTTCAGCACAAATTGAAAGTGATACTTCATTAAATTCACATGTAAGTGTTTTTATTTTTAATATTTAATATTTGCGTAACAATATTGTTTTCTCACTTATTTAGGTTTACAAAGCACCTAAAACTTTGAGAAAACGGTCCGACTTAGGTCATCGAGGAGCAGTTGTTCCTAATGAAACAGAGACTGGTATTACCGTTCATAAAGATTCAATGTAAATATATTTTTTTAATAATTTTTTTAATGAAAATTAATCAAGTATTTTTTACTTTAATATTATGAAGTCTCGTGAGCAAAAAAGAAAAAATTCTTATCATAAAAAAGTTAAATTATATATATATATATATGTAGATTATAGAATATAAATTAGGTGCCCTATGTACTTCATTGCCCATTAAAATAACATTTCTTATGTGATTCAAACTTTGTTTAATTAATTATTTAATACTCGTCTTTTGTTAACGAAATAACATTTCCTTAACCTTACCTTATGTGAGTATTTCCTTTTTATTTTTAAAATTATTTATTCAATTATAAATTAACTTATAGAATTGGAAATAACATAGATTTAAACATTCTCCGCCTGAATAATTTTGATTAACCTATTAAAAATTAAACTATTACATGGTGCTACTACATTTTTGTATTAAAGGTTCACACATATTATTTTCACATACACACGCGCGCGCGTACATACACACACACATATATATATATACATAATTTATACATGCTTAGATTATCTTTCAATGGGATTTAAAAATAAGTTTAAATATCTTCCCCTTTTCGAATATTAACACCATCTAAAAATTGTGGTTTAAGCTATCCAAAAAGTTTAATTAAGATTGATAACTTTATTACTTAATATTTTAATATCCAAATTCAAATTTTTATTTCAATACTTTAAAGTTCATAGTTTCCTACATTATATAGTAAAATTTATTTATACAAGTAATAAATAAAAGGTAGATTTAATAAGGCAGTTATTGTATGGTTCAGAATGTTGGACACTTCCTTTCTGCATTGCCATGAGGTACCAGCCCATTATCTTAGTGAATAAAATTAACAACCAAAATAGTTGGCTATCCCTATTAAATAGTTATTATTTGATATTGTTTTATGCATTATATTATAATAACAATTTAGAGTACATTTAAGCCATAAGGTTTATTATTGTTATTAATAAAATGTTGTTTTGGTTTTAGGCTGTATGAAAGTTGGAAAAAATTCAAATCTGAAAATGCATTCATGCAAAAGTTATCTGATTTAAAAGAACGCTATGATGACAGTGATCATGTTTTAGTACGAGCTACACGTTCAGTGACTGATACTTTATCATCAGTGTTTCATAATGCTGAAATGTCAGATGTAGTCACAGAATTGTGTCGTGTTGAACCTGATTTTAGCTTAATAAACTTTATCCGACAATGTGAAACTGATATCATACCGAATGTACTAGAAGCTCTAGCACGAGAAGATCTAGCTATTCTCAAAGACTGGTGTTTTGAAGCTCCTTATAGAGTATTATCACATCCTATTAATGAACATCGAAAAAAAGGTCATCAAACATATTGCAAAGTTTTAGATGTACATAATGTGGATGTTATAACTGGAAAAATTATGGAACACGGTCCTGTATTAATAATATCATTTAGTGCCCAACAAATCATGTATATTAAAGATGTGAACGGGCTAATCATCGAAGGAGATCCTCATACTGTTATCAGAGTGATGTATACTTGGGCAATGTGCAGAGATGTAAATGAAGTAAATCCAAGAGCTGCTTGGAAATTATTAGATATAGCAGCAAATTCCAGTGCACAGTTGTTGTAAAATGTAATTATAAGTTTAGATTATTTGTGACAAAATATTTTATTTCTCAAATACTCTTACTGTTTAAGTCAACTTCTGTTTAATATTTGATCAATTATTGTTCAAATTTAACAAAGAACTGTATTATATTAAGGTTTTACCTTAATGTGTTATTACTTATTTAGTAAAATTCTAGTTGGTTTTTATTATTTCAATGTGAATTTGAAAAAAATCCTCTAAACAATTTGTCTTTCAACAGCTATTAATATAGAAGAAATAATCCAGAAAAATTGTATGTACTTATTATTTTAATTAGAAGATTAATCAGTAAAGAATCTATTGATCTAATTGTATTATGGCTCTCTTTGTAGTCTTTAATTTTATTTAATATTTTACACTAGTTAAGTTTGACATTAAGTACTTTTTTCCAAATTTAACTTAAACAAATTTCTTTGAAGCCTGAAAAAAACAAGTATTTTATGCTGCATTATAATTTATTTAATTTATAGTAACACAATTAGTATTAAATTAAATTTTTATATATTCTTGCTTAATTTTACTCCAGTTAATCATTATCATGTTTTTTAACAATACAAGTACCATATAAATATGTGTCAAAAATTCCAAACTATATAAAATAAACTCAATAAAATAACATGAAGTATCTCACTGTTTAAAAAGCTTGAATATTAAAATAAATAGGTAAACTTCATTAAAAATTTCATTTGAAAGAATTTATGAAAAAAAAAAGAGTTGTATGCATTTATATGCACAGAATTTATAAATATGCAATATGTTCTACATAGAATAGTAATATACTGATAACTAATGTCTTGAATCAAACGTAGAAGGAATTCATTAATTTTGAATTCAAAATGATACGTATTGATGTACAAAAGTCATAAATGTAGTCATTAAAGTAGCCCTACTAACTGTTGATTATAATACCTTTTTGAAGAATAGAAGATTAATTGTATGTTTTTAGTCTCATAATTAAATTATCATTAATGAATAGGTTAACCTATTGAATTTCTAAAATCATTAATTTCGAGTACACGGAAAAGTGACAAACGACTCGTGTATACAATTTTTCAGCGATTTTCCTGTCCATTTTAGAGATTATATTATTATCTAACCTGGACCGTCGACGTTGTCAAAATATTTTTTCTCAACACGTTTCTTCGATCGGGTAATTATTAAATCGTTACGGATAAATGGCGAACGTGTGGAACATGAATCGTAAACATAATTTTCTTTATACCTAGTTGTGTATAAGTATATAAATAAATACATTAAAATTGATTTTTTTGCATGAACTAATCGCGTAAAAATATACATACCTACGTCATATTACTCATATTATTATGTTCTTGATGGCTGATAACGACGAAAAGCAGTTCGTTATCGTCGCCAGGTTTTCGGTTATCACGATTTCGTCTATGGTGCGGCGGGACGGACAAAAAGTAAGTTTTCACAAGTTCACATTAATACTGTTATAGCACAATATTTATTGTTATATTTAATTACACACGGCACACGTCATCACGTTGTCCGGAGAACATTATTCTGTGTGCATGTCTCGTTATCGCGCATTATTTTTATACAACGCGATATTATTATATAAATATATATCTATAATAGTATTATATATGCACGTAATAACCATGAACTAACAGGTACTATTTAATATCATTATATTTAAATAATTTATAATTTTTATTATAATAAAATCAATACATTCGTCATCACTCATTGCTTTGATCAAAATCTAAAATACATAATATAATATTAATATTTAATAATTATCTAAAAATAAATAAATTTTTCAAAATCTTGAGTAAAATTCAGTTTTGAAAATATTTTTTCCCTAAAAAAATTGTATTTTATAATAATCATAGAATAAGTATTGAATTATTTTAAATTAAGTCGATGTTCTCTTTCAAAGCATGTTGAATTAAATTCTTCAATTACTTGATCAAAATTTAAATACATTTTTTTTAAATTGTAAAATAGTTAAACTACTTAGCCGTTCTTGTCCATAGTCGTTCTTAAGTAGGTCTTCAATCACTCTAAACAGGAAAATTATTTATCCCAATTTGTTGTGCTGGTTAGAATAGTTAAAAATATTTATAATTACTCCGTTGTCAAAAGAAAAACTTTTTAAGTATAATTCTCTCTTAAATATTCTTTTTTTTTTTTGCTTCTAATTTGTCAAATACTGAAGTGTTGCAATATTCTTGTTTAAACATTCTATTAAAAATGTATTACACTATATTATTAAATCATTTGTGTTAAAGTTATAATATGTATTACTAACTATTTTTATTAAATTTTCAGATGGTTTTTTCGAACATAATTATTATTTATTTTACTTAATGCATTTATAAATTATAATATCAATTTGGGTACTTTCTTGTTATACTAGACTACTGCTATATTACGACTACCATCCAAGATCTAGGTACCTCCGTTATCACGATTTCCACAATATCTTTTACATAGGTACATAATATGCAGCATACCAGCGATTTTTTATTTCATAACTAATTATCATAATAATATTATGAACACTTGATCTATACCTATAAGAGTTATGACTGAAGAAGAAGCAGTAAGGCTGCATCAGGATTTAGGAATGTGGTATTTTACATGCTCACAGAAAATGTTATTATTATTCAATACGTACATTACAGAATGTTCACGATGAACTGACAATATTGCAATAACTTTTGTTCTATTGAACATTTTCAACTTTTTTTTTTTTTTTTAATTATCAATTGACATCTGCGCTACATCTAAACTAATATTTCGATTTTCTTTTTTAATTTTGTATGTAAAATTAAGAAATTAAAACATTTTCTATTTGATATTAAAAAAAATATGTTATATTGTGAATTGTATAAAAAATAAAAAATTTTAAAACGCTAATAACCCATGTATCTTCGATACTTATATAATACTATACTGTGTACACACATTACAATAACACATTTTTGTTTATTCTCAATTTGGAAGTTTCAAACTTTCAAAGATACTTTTCTCAACTTGTCATATTTAATTTACACAAAAGTGTAAAAAACTTTTGCTTCTATTCTAACAGTACCTATTGTATATTCTATGACTTATGTATTTTTAAAACTATGAGTAAGTTCTATATCTAGGTAATTAACTATGACTAAAGGACGAGGTGGTTATATTTTGAGTACAGTGTCATCCCCACTCTTTCTATTTTTAGATATTTATTATTTACTATAGTTAATTAAAAATAGTTGTTTAGTTTGTTATAGGTTCGTTAATGTTACAATAATGTTCAGTAATCTTCGATAAGAACAGAACTGATTCGAATTCACAGGCAATATTATGTTAATAAAAGATATTAGGCATGACGTCACTGTCGCTGACATTTAGTGAAGCGGACTAAGAAACGTCTTACTAAAACGTAGTAGGTATTAATAATTATAGTTTATTGCCAATATGTGTTATGTCTATAAATCATTGCTTAATTGGTTTTATTTTCGTTTTTCCTCTCGAGTCTCGGTACTCGGCAGTTACACCGTTATCGCAACGGCTGCGCAAGTGCCATATTGCCATGATGCCATGTGCAATGTATGACGGCGACTACGACGACAACGAACGACCGGTTTCTGCCGTCTGTCCGTCGGTGAGAAGGAAACGAGGAAAAAATAGAAACCATCGCCTGTGACCGTAATGTGATATAATGCCTCCTGGGCGGCAGTGGCGGTGGTTATTGCCCGATTAAAAGCGTAACAACTAACAATAATATTGTAACCGACGACCGTATTATACTGTTTTACATTTAAAACCAACGCACTATGTGATATTGTACGAGTTACGACAATTTCGGGTCTTCACTCGTCTCCAGTGTATAGTCAATACCGCCGCCGCCGAATGAATGCACAACGCTCTTACTAGTTTACAACACAGTATTAATATTATTTTAATTTACATGATAATATTTTATATTATTATTGAACTCGCGCCCGTCAGTGCGAAAAACCGCGAATGAAATAATATTATTTTTAAACCGCCGCCGTCGGTCTTTATTATTTTTTTTCTTATTTTCTTCGTCGTCTCGTCCGCCCGATGTCTGTCGTTTACCGTGCAATCTGCACGAAGATTGTTGAACATTTAAAAACATAATATAATATTATAATAATACGTCTACGCGTACACACCGTCTTATTACATTCGGTTCCGTTTCGTTTTTGATTTTCGATTCTCGGTCACGGTTATACACACGCACTACTATTTGTTTTACGCGTCAACTTTCAACTTTACTGCCAACTACGTGACGGCGCTCGTCTGTAATATTTTTGTCACTGAACCACAATCCGTAACATCATTTGACATACACGCTTGCGGCTCTGCTGCGAAATCGGTAAGGTTTTTGCCAGTGGTCGGCATTGTTTTTTATTTTTATTTTTTCAACTCCCGACAATACAATAATATAATTACACTCTGTAACATTATAAAACTCATTTTACATTACCGGATAATCGACACGTGTATATATTATATAATAATATTTAAAGATTATATATAGGTCAATGACGTAATTAGGGTCCCGAGTTTGAAATTTTGGAGTGAATGGACTATGGAAACCTTCACTTGAGGTTAAATTTAGTACATATTCACTATTCACATCAAGTGATATTATAAGGATGCTTTTATTCGGTATCTATTAATAAAAATTGTAAAAATACTAATAATATTATTTGTGTACAAAAAAAATAAAAATAATATATGTTACGAGGATCCACCCCTACCCATAGGGAAAATTTCTGGTCGAACTCGTCCTATCGATACGTATAGTCCGTAGTATACAATATGTTATTCTAAATTATAATCTACATCATCAGTTATCAAATTTATATAAAATATTCTTATAATACGTAGGTACAAGTATATTATACCTAAACACACACAGAATAAGTATAAATATAGGTGACACGCGTTCATATTTATGCGCATCTGTTGCTTTATGTCTTATCTAATCTCGTGTTAATGTATTCCGATTAAAAGGTTTGGTAAGTTAGTAGGTAAAATAGCCGTATAGATATTACTGTAAAAGTGTAAAAGCAGTATCAGCTCGTGTATCGACATTCATAAGTATAGTGTTTTCAGTGGTCGAGCACGCGCTTTCAATATTCGTTTAGATATATAAGTTTTTTTTCTCTCAACAAAAATGCGTTCAATTAAGAACACTTTTATATCTTAAAACTATAATTTGGTACCCAACAGTTGTATGAATTTGTATTTCACTTTTTTTCAAGAATATTTACAAACTTATATTTGTATATCTCAGCATTTTTTTTAGAAAATTGGTAAGTGTTTTTTCTCTAAAACAAAATATAATTCCTATTTAGTAATATAATGTATTATATTACTCATTGTCTATATTATTAAACCTTTAATAGATAATATACCATATGTATACTGATATGCATAATGCATTAATGTATTATTGATTTTGTGAATCAAAATTAAAATTAAAACAAATAGCAACCTGGTAAAGCAAAATTAAAAAAAAAAAAAAAATGTTTTTTGTTAATAATTGACATACTGTATGGTACTAATCAGTAGTGACTATTAACTATTAGTAATTATTATGTCTTCTGTGATTGTTTATAATATTAATAACACGTAAGCTGCCATGAATAGTATTGGTGATCCTTTAACTCATGAGCCAATTAATTTTAATGATATTATTTAAATTCTATCTTTCACGAAGTTGTTTACATGTTATTTTTAGATTGAATGAATAGAATTAATTTTTTTCTTGGTTTTCCAGCTATACAAAGCTATTTTGATATAATTTCCATTCAATATTAAATTTTAAACACAAAAAAGCTATGCAAGTGGGTACAGCACTGTTGTACATTAGGTATCGAGTGGGTCACTATTAAGGGAGTATTTAACTCGAATTCAATGATATAAGTAAACTATATTAAAAAGAATTCTAGCATTTATTGATATAAAATTTTTATTACCTAATATCTTTCACGAAAAACAATTTTCTCGAATTTACATGAAATAATATGCGCTAATAACCAAAAAAAAATTAACAATAGGCCAAATATGCCCCAACACCCAAAATATATAAAAACATGCTCTATCAAACTTTATATTCTTATTACAATTGTTATGAAACGGATTTGTTATTCACTTGGCATGTTTTTTAATGTAGCAGAAAACATTTGTGAATGCATGAACTTACGGCCTTGTATATCATTACATATATACGAAAAACAATTTTGAGCTGAAATAGTAAATATCAGTCTATATTTTTATAAGTACAATTCGTGATATTTTTTTTGTTATTATTAAATTAAAGTAATTTATTTTACTTTTAATACTTTAGTAGGCTGATATAATTTTTTCCGAAAATATTGCATTTATTATATCATTAGTAGAGGTCGGAATAATAATCTTTTAAAACAGTCAAAATATGATGCTAATATTCCCTTAAAAAATTGATAATATTCTTCTAAAATTCTTTAAAAACTGTAGTTAAATATGCAAACATATGCTTTTACAGTAATATATTCTTCTAAATTCAAAATATTATATTTTTATATTAAAAAAAAAAAAATACAATCTAAATGATACATAAAGGTCATTAATTATGATACAATTCTATATGTTTACTGAAATATTTATTTAAATAAACAATTATAGGTCGATACCTTATAATTTACCTTTAAAAAAATGTTAACTTAATATTTTATTAACTCATTCCATATTGTTATTCCATTTATAGTTATCTCAATAATAACGGACTAAAAACATTTAATATTATTAATAATTTTTGTCCTTATAACATAAAATATCCAAATTCTATAAAATTAATCGATATATTTTCTAATACTCTTTTTTATATGAAATATTCTCTTATTTAAAAAATATTCTCAAATATGCAAAACAAACTTTTGCCATTGAATTATATGATTCATAATTTTTATCGATTTCAAACCGACATTTGACTGCATAGATTCAAAAAAAATAAAAATATATGCAAAAGGATATTATTCAGACCTACAAGTATTTAATTATTATAAGAATTTATATTTATACCATATTAATTCAACTAATATAATTTATTTTAAATGAAATCAGTCATAACATATCTTTGTAAATGCTGTAAAACAGTGAAAAAAAAATTGATAGCATAAATAAAACAAAAATATCATTGCGTATAGTAAAATTCATTACAATATAATGTACGTAAAAGTTTTGAGTTTCCACGAATATTGTTTTTAAATTTTAACAAAATTATTATCTTATTTATCGTTTATATAAGTTATTTCGTCTAAATTTGATTTTACTATGTCTATAAAAAATAATTGCTATTATATATTTATTATGTTATGATTTTAGTATGAATTTGGTTTACCAGTTGAATATTTTTATGTATAAGTTTAAGAACTTAGAAGTAACCTTGTGTTAAATTTTTTAACTTTAGATATAAAAACAAATATTTGTATCAATTTCCAATTACAAAATAATTTGTTAGTTTTTGAGGTTTTTATAAATATTGTTAAATTTTTAAATTTAAATGCTTATAAAAAAATATTGTGATTATTTTTGATATTTTTTTGTTAAGAAATTAAAAACTTATGACAAACATAATACATTTTCAAGTATTTCTACTAGCAAATAATTTTTAAACAACATTTATAAAAAAATTGAAAAATTCTCATACCTATAAATAGCTTAAAAATAGTCGAAAAATTTATCGTAAATATTAAACAATTATGATAAAATATACATTTTATGAACATTTTAAGTATCTATATACGGTTATTCAATTTTGAGCTACACTATAAAAACAAAATTATTTTTTTGAAAATAAGATTTGTGTAAAAATTTCCGATTTTTCTTAATTTTTTTTTCGTTTTTTCCAATTTTAATTAATCCCCTGAAGTACTATATAGATCAATTTGCTACCAGGAACCACCTTCATATTTAAAAATCAAAGCATTTTTAGTTTCCCATAAGGTGATGATCGACAGAAAAAAAAACATTTTGTGAAAACATACATTCATTGATAATCTTAAAATCTAAAATTATTAATATTAATTGATTTATCATGAAGTACATTTATCAGTGATATAGGTTAACAAAACGTCTCCGATCAGAATAGTTTTTGTATACAATGATATAGGTATCATTGAATTTCAATCTAACACATCTATTAGTCTATAACAGTGACCCACTTGATACCTATTTTATACAGCGGAACGTTATACCCACTATATGCCTACTTTCTCCAAAATATCAATTATTGTGAATCAATGAATATTGATTAAAATATTTTAGTTAGTTCAAATGGATTGACAATTTAATATTAACTTCCTTATACATTTTTTGTATCGTTGTTTAAAAATATTAAATATACATAAATTCGATTTTTATTTATAAACATTTGAAGTAAAAATGTTTACACAATTCTCCGAAATCACGAAAATTTTCAAATAATTTTATTGTTAAAAATTTGTAAAATGTTGAATTTTTATAACTAAGGATTGAAAATGTAATACAAAGTTTCTCTTAAAAAAATTATACTCTAAGCAAAAATTTTTTAAAAATATATTTACTCAATTATTTTTTATAGACGATGAATATCAAATACTCGTAAATATAATAGGGAGTTCATTGAAGTGTTTTAATAAAATTATATTCCCAAAAACGTTTATTACATGAAAATAAAAATACACATACATCACAAATGTAATCATAATATACGTTAATCCAATTTGTATGGTGTATATTATAAGAAATCAGAATACTTAATTACGTGTTCAATATAAACAGGACATAGGTTTAATTAAAAAATAATTTATACTTAAATTTTTATTGGTAATAAATAATTATCGTTTAATGTTTTATGTTAACTATAGAAAAGCTATTTTTGTTAAAATAATTGTCTTCTTAAATTCAGCTATCATTTTTTTCTGATGCATCTCAGGGATATTATTAGCATATTTTTAACCTATATTTCACAATATTAATTAGGTATAGCAATAAACTAATTATATCTTATACGAGTAGGTTAAGGTCTATCTATATATTATATTTATGAATTTAAAGATAAATTTATATTATAAAACACATTATTATAATGTAAATTATATATTTTATGAATGTTAATTCTAAATAATTACATAGACGGATATCTTATTCCTGTATTATATAGTTAAATTAAAAAAGTGAGATAAAAAATAAACTTATATATTTTTTTTTTTTGGATGTTACACGCCGACATTCGCATAGGTTGTCTCCGTCTTACAAATTAATGAATGTATGTACAAAGTACAATGTAATTAATTTAGGTTCCACAGAAGCAATATTTTGATTAAACTTAAGATAAAAATCTAT